TTCATTCTAAGCGACGCGAGTACATCGGCGGTGATACTACATAATATATACTGAACAAACCGTCTCGACACCAACACGAGTGATCTTATTGCAAGAGATAAATACGGAAAAATTAAATTTACCACGCTAATTTTCATAACCGACAGAGCAGTGTTAAGCACTACCGATCATTCATCCTTAAACTGTGTACTTGCATAATTTAACGAAGCCGGCTTATAGCGGCGATGAACTCGTTTAAGATAAACTGTTGCCGACCAATGATACTATAATTAAACGGATTATCGCGTCGCTGAATAAAATATCAGCCTTGCAAAATGTCATTAACATAATTTGCAGCGCTCAAACCATTCAGACATAATATTAAATTAATACCATTAGCTTTACGGACTGAGATACTTCAACATTTTTTTACATTTATACGCCCTTGTTGTAGTGCGGCATAAATAAATTGCGTCAAGTTCAAGATTGGGTACATCTGAATATTTTACGGGTTGTTTTATGTTTGAATAAAAATAAAAGAAAATATTATATAACATCGGTCGGGTACCATTACATGTTTTTTTTTTTTTTTTTTCATTGAATAGACTACACGTGTATTTTGTAATTAGTTAAATTATAAGCCATTATTGTATAAGTACTTCCTACTAACCCGGGTTTAAGACCATAACGACCGGGCCACCGGTGCTCGGAACTGTGTTTTTAAATAATAATTTACACGGTGTGTCTGCCGGAGAAAATATACTTAAACTAATCTCCATTCGCATACAAGGGACATGTTGGCGTTGTTGTTTGGGAATAAATGAAAAACCTAAAATCCTGGAACCAAGCCATTTCGCAGCGAACCCTTGCCCCCCCCCCCCCCCCGCAAAAGCTGCACGCCTCTCCCCTTTGGCGTTCACCTTATCCAACAACAACTTTGTGCCGAAAGTATTTTAATTTAACTGGAAACCACCGCCGTTATTCAACTGTACATCTACTTATTATGTAAGTAATTATTTTTTTTTTATATTCCCTCAACTCTGTTACGCTCATGAAACCTTATAGTACGGCATTATGCTTGACAATATCTATATTATGTATTATTATTATTATATTATATGCACAGCTGCGCGAGCACTAACGATTATTTCACAACATTCGTTAAACCGTTATTAAAAATATAAACCAAATATAAACTGTGCGTGCAATCAATTGTTTTACACCGCATTCACATGATGTTCTATCAATATAGAGTATTGATATTATGTTGTATCAAACACATTATGTTTTTCCATTACCAGCCTATAATATAAGTTTATTGTGCAATATATTATGTTGTTGCCAAATAATTATAAGCGTGAAATACCTTATGGTGTTATATTTAAATATTATATGTATTTATATTAATAATTGTATACTTGTATTGTAATTATATTTTGTATTATATTTCTACATAAGGGTGTTCATACTTTCCAGATTAAATACTCGTTGAAAAAAGATTTTAAATTTAAAACTAAATGTGTAACTAAGTTCAGAAGCTTTGGATTTTTTAATTTCAACGATTTTATCCTTTGAAATGGCCCTATCTTCCTTGTAAGTGTGACTGTATTTTAAATACTCAATATTTTACAGAATGAAGTGTACTAGTTAAAAAAATAATGTCTAGATAAGGTACATCAATTATTAATACCTTATGGGACATTTTTTGTATGCTTTCAAAACTGTATAAATTAATTTTCACTATCCTCAAACCGACTTAATTAAAATTTCAGAACAAAATATATGTCAAGTATATAAATGACCACTAGGCACCATATAATGTCCATAGCGCCGGCGAGTATCATAATTGCATAACCACAGTGCCGTCCATAATGGAATTTACATTAAAAAAAAAAAAATAGTAGTCGTGGGTGAAAAAAAACTCGATAAGCGACAGTCTATTTTTCTCAAATCCACAGAATTCAAAACGTTTCAGAGCTATCACGAAAAAGTCTATACTTCTTAAACTGGGCAAAACCATTGGAAATACCTTTGGAGAAAATCAACTGTTTGAAAACTAATAGAAAAGATTCCACGAGCAGTATCAATGCTATATATCATATTAGTAGTTGTTCTCTTCGAGTGTTGAAAGTGGAAAAATAACACAAAGTTTCACTAGAAAAAAAAAATTGTCTACAAAATATATAGATTTTAATAACAATACCGTCTCACTGCCAGTTAGGCAGTTTTTATAATTACGGCGATTGCGTCTGTCAAACCATAAATCATATTTTCCAAGTATAAAAGTGAAGAAAAAAAAAATCGTCTCTCCTTTAATTTGAAACAAGGACACCGTAAAAAAAAAAAAACAAAAAAAAGGTTGAAAAAAATAAACACAGTCGACGCTGATAAACTGACAGTAATATTAAATTTCACGAATGGTTAAATATCGGCTGTTGTAGTGAACGGTTTTATTAGTTTTTGCTGGTAAATGTGAATAAAAATATAAAATATGGAAAAATCTTCTTTTTTTCTTTTTCGTTTTTATACAATCTCGAACTTTTTCTTTATTAAAAATAAACAAATATATCATGGCGTTTATTAAAAACTACGGCGGACAATAAATTATAACACTACGAATTACAATTGTTTGTTCAGTATTTAGTTTTGTACTTATTTTCAGTTTCAAATTTGATTTTACCCATCTAAAACGTTATTGTTTTATGCCGTACCCATCCGCAGCTGCTTTGAGAACAATGCTCTATATATATATTATATTATGTACATTTGTTATTATCTCTTGAACACAAATATTAGCAAACAGGATCGATAATACAATTTACATAATAATATATTTCGTATATCTCATTTGTATTATATTACAATAATGCATTTGGATATTATACATACTTTTGCACAGTCCGCATTAACAATTTAATGTAATTGAAAGTCGTTTCATCACAGTTGGACGCGGAAGGGACGAAATACAAACATATTACATCATAAATATATATACCTAACTATTGTGGTGTATAATGTTATAGAAGCTTGATAAATAATAATTTTCCAAACATACTAGTATAGATATTTTAATATAATTTTAAAAAGGTATATATATATTTAAAGGTACGTAGGTATACAATATGCATACATAATGTATAATTCTTGTGAAACTGCTTAAAGGTCTTTAATAATAAATAAAGGGTTCTCTTTAGTGATTAAAACTAAAAAAATTGTTTATCTCACACAAATTACATGTATAAATGTTAGACGGTCCAGAATGTATTAGCTTCGACGCAGAGCTAGAGATGTTTTACAATTTGGCGTTTAGTTTTTTTTTTGTGTCGATCTAAGCTTTTGTTTGAAAATGATTTTATCACTTTCAGTTTTTTCCTCGTACCAACTGTGCTGGCTTTTATTAAATGTAAATTTAGTCTTTAAAATTACACACTCTACTAATAATTTTATTTCACATATAAAATATGTCTTTCGATTCAGTCGGGAATAATATAATAAAAGGGACTCTACTTGCTGGACTTAAGCGGTGCAATTATTCTTACTGATAATAGCTAAATAAGGCATTTTGGTATTTTACAGAATAATCAACCATTATAATAGAACCAACGTACGGTCTCTCTAAATATAATCGGTGTTATAGAAGGAAATAAAATGATTTGTATACCGGTTGTGATTCAGATAAAATAATATAGCTGATTTATAGAAATAGTAGGTACATAGTAATATCCAAATTTATTTGACTACATTATTACTTTGACCATTGAAAACTTATAAACAAATTATATTATATTCCAAGTCCTTAACTGTTCATAATATGTTTTGAAACAAAACGTTTTGGCAACTTTTCCCATTTAAACAACACCTCCAACACTATTTTTTATAACATATTGCACGAATATAAAAAGTTTTATATTTTATTTTTTTAATACAACAAATAAGTTCCCCAGGAAGTTTCTCTGGTAGGTATTTAACTTCTATTGACTTATTTTAGGTTGTAAGGTATCCAGTATGTATATGAATACTCACTTCAATAACATTTTGTTTGTTTTTACTGATCACCATAAACTTTTAAAATGCTAAAAAGCATTGGGCATATTTATTGTATACCTTTTATTTGTTTAGAAACACGGTACGCTACATAATATTACTTTTTGTGTTTGCTCCGGTCGTTTTTTAATCCGAGTGAACTTTGTAAAAGTTTCAAATGTAGTTTATTGGCGACCAAGTTTTTTAATTAGTTTCATAGAATTACCCACGAAACTCTGAACAAGTTATATTGAAAAAACCTCTTTGAATTCTTACAATAACAATTAAACTATAATAATTAATTTATAACTGTATTTGTAAATAGCAGTATTTTTATTAAAAAAAATTACTTTTTTTCCTTTTCAACAACGGGCTTATATGGATTTTTCGAGATTTCATTTAGTTAATGTAATTGTTTATTGTTGAGACTACTTAATATGTTGACTTCAATTCAGAAATGACGCCTATAAAATTCATGCAACACAAATGAAAGTCATCTGACGACAATCTGTTGTAAATTGAGTTAGATCCAAAGTATTTTAGCAGCGGAAGATAGTATTTGAGATTAGCTAGCTATTATTTAAACAAGAAGTTATAAATAATTTATCAACTATGAAAGAATATAAGAAAAATACAAGAAAAAATTACAATAACAACCTTTTTAAAAAATGATTGATACTTGAACGGGGTATTGTATTTACACTGTTTACATATTTTTGGGTCACTCCTACTAAAACAGATTGACTTGTTAGTAAACAAGAAACATCAGCAGACAAGTCAATCTGCTCAAGTGGGAGAACCGAAAAATATATAAATAGTGTAAAAACTTTTTTTTTTTTTAATTAATTTTAAACAATTAGCTTATTACACATTTATTTATATAAAATATTTATATTAATATAAAATACGAATTATCATTAAAAATATATTAACTGCATAAACTTTAGTTAAAACCATATAATTTTACAAGACGGGTTAATAAATAATAGAAAACAGTATTTACAAAATACCATATGCCTTTACTTTTCAAAATCAGTTGTGTTTCATTAATGAACGTATGTATAAATTTAAACAAAATAACAAAGTTTCTTCAAGCCTAAGCGTGTACTTTCACTCAAATTGAAGTAATGTTAATCGAAAAAAAAATGATAATAAACGCTTAGTTTGGTATATTTGCCAAATAGTCGGCAACTTGTTGTTGGTCAAGCTTCTCGAATATAATTTCATCATTTTTGTCTTTACGACAAACGCCAACTTCGATGTTATCTGCTGTCATCTGTCCTTCGAAACCTTCTTTCAGTGCTAAAATCGCTGTATGGATAGCGTCTTCTAATTCCAAGTCTTCTTTATACCTGAAACACAAGTAACCTGAATTACTAAACAGCACTACAAAAAATTGAAACAAAAATTGTCATAGTAGTATTGTACGAAAACATGAATTCATTAACTTTACATACCTCTTTTCTAAAAATAATTTGCTATTGACATAGTTTTTGCCCAACGCTGTAGCTTTCCATGCGAAGTATGCTCCTGAAGGATCACACTGATACAACTTGGGGCCTGTTTTATCCCAACCACAAACCAATAATGATACACCGAATGGCCTTACACCTCTGAAAAAATATAATTCTTTTTACTACACTTAAGCAAACAAACGAATGAAACAACAATCCAGCTCTGCATCGAAGCTAATATTAAAACTTTATAAAAGACGTTATAGTGTTATGTTATAATTACATGGAAAAGACATTATAATCATTATATTAGTTAGGTAGCTAAATGTACAAATTATAATTTAAAAATGTTATTTTAAACTTAAAATTATTGAGAATTCAGTTAAATTTGTTTATAACAGCCACAAGATGAAAAATATAAATTTTAATCGGAACTTAGAATCAGAATTATTTATTTGGATTATAATTTATTATCATATTAGTTAAAAGTATAGAATTTTTTAAATTCTTAATAATTTAAGTATTCTTAAAGAATGTAACTCTCGAGTAAACAATAAAAATAAGTAACAATTTTATTAAATAAGCAAAGATTAATTATATTAATTAAATGTATGTGTGTATTACACCCCACCTGGGTCTTAAAGCGTTATCTATGGCTCGTCCAGGTAATTGCAGAAATAAATGGACACACGCGAACGGATAGGTAAAAGAAATATAATATAATTTAATAACAAAAACTAACGGGTCTATTTCATATTATTAAAATTATACCATAAGTAGATTTAAAACCAATTTATGGTTTCTAAAATCTTTGTAAAACAGTAGTCAATATTATTATTACCCAGATTGAGTATATTCCTGCATTACACTAGCTACTTCTTGAACTAACAAAGCAGTAGGAATTTCTTCTTCAAATTTTAATTGGTATTGTGCGGCTTCTTTTCTTGCCTTCCTTACTAGAAGTCTATAATCTGGACCCATACCTACAAAAATATAATATAATTAATAACTATACAAAAACCAATATTTTATTAAATGTCTGCACAGTGTACTGGCTATGAAAAACATACAAATTGTAATGATAATTTAGTAAACAAACTGTTTTACTAAATAAATATTTACCGCTGTAGACCATTCCAATGTTGGGAGTAATCTTTTGAACTTTTTCCACAGTTGTTTCATACAAAATAGATTTCCGTTTGTTTTCTGTTGCTACTACAACTCCATTAGATGCTAAAAAAAACCGTTAACTTTAATAAGATGTAAAATATATTAATTTTCAAAGTATCGCAAGTTTATTCATGCTAACCCATGGAAATAGTAAATTTAATGTTATACTAATTGCATTCAACTTAAAACTCTATTCACATAACATACATATCATTAAGGTAATATAGAATTCATATTATGTTAAGGTAGGTTTAAAAATATTACGCATTAAACATTAGCATTAGTATTTAACTATTTTACCTTTGATTCCGACCGATGCGGCTCCAGCCGACACTGCTGCTAAAGCGTATTCAATCTGAACGAGTTTCCCCGAAGGACTAAATTATAATAAAAAACCGTTAAACAGACAAATATTTACAATTTTCTTGGACAATTTATTTTGTGAGGTTTGTATACAAATATTCACTAAATTAATAAAATCTATTATTCTGTTAAAGGTATATAATTACTATTTTCTACTATATCTAGAAATAATTAAATGTGTTACCTGAACGTAGTCAACGAGAAACTGTATCTTTCAGTAGCCATGTTTCCTTAAGTTAAATGAACAAGATTGTTAATAAAACAAAAAATATTTAATCAGAAAATTCCAATGGACTTGATTTTCAATGAACAACAAACGAATAATTACTAAGCGGAAAATTTGAAGTTTATATTATTTACTTTTGAACAATATCAATTATTTGAGGTTAGCTAATGGTAGTCGTTTTGCTCCAAAGACCACTTCACCGAATTAAATACTTATGTCACTTGACAGCTGACGATACACAGCTGATAAGAAAAGGATCAATATCGGATTAAATGATAAGGAAAATATAAATTAATAATACAAAACTCGGGTTGACGGTAGACGGTAGTATATTATCGAATACATGTATAAATGTAAAATTAATCAATTTCAGGAACTTTTATAAACTAAAAAAACTGCCTAATAAATATTAGTTAAATAAAGAAATCATTTTTTAATATACTAAAATGATGAAAAATTTTAAAGCGGTAGCGTCACAAAATTTGTTACTTACCAACCGCTTTAAGAAACCAACAAATAAACAGTTTAAACCAGGAGAAAATGACTGGTAAGTAATGGAATAGTTATTATTTATTAACAATTCTCTTGCTAAATGTTCGTCATGTTTTTGTTCGGAACTCTGAACCTTAAGAGAGTCGACTGTGTTAATTTTGCAGTCTTGGGCAAGTTACTTTTGAATTGTAATATTACTCGCTACGTTACTATTACAGTAATTAAATTACTTTTTTGTTATTTAAATATTCTTGGTAACAATATTACAAATTTTTTTCCCAATAAAAGGTACGACTACTTTGGTGTTGCTATTTGTATACACACATTTTCATTGATTTTTTTGTCTATATTTTTGAAAAAGTTTATACAGCTTGATAACAATTTATTGTAGTTATTAGCTAAGTGGTTACTACTAAATAGTCAAAGCTCATGTTTTTAAAATTACCTAATACCTGAATAATGAACTAAACTAAGTTTTTTTCTTATTTAATTTCAAAATAAGAATTTCATTAAACATTTTGTAACTTGTTATTTATTTTTAATTACACTATAAAAGCAATAAAATTAATTTTATAGTACTAAGTACAGAATGTAATAAAATTACATAATGTGTTAAAAAAAAAAATTTAACATCAAATGTATGTTATAGGTTATTGGTTACTAGCAATTGGTATTTTTGGATCTTCTCGTGGACGTTAATGATTGCCGCTATTATAGGCCTTGGTGCTACAGTATTTATGATGGTGGTATTACGTTTCACCACTAGTATGGAAAGCATAGAATTCGATAATGAATTGACAAAACTTATCGGCAATATAGATTTAGACAATTTATATAAAGCTAATGGCAGAATTGAAGGCTTTAAAAATATTCCTATGGAAATTGGAAGCGAAAATAATTCTGTATATATGCACGTCATTAATCCAGACGATATGAGTAAGTTGTTTAATACCTAATTAAATTATTTCAAACATTTCCAAATCCAATGGGCAAATATCTATTATATTATAATATATTTTAGGTAAAGAATCATCGATCGAACTGGGATTCAGTAAAACTCACGTGAAAAATATTGAATCGTTTATAGTAGGTAATCCAAAAGATCCTATTTTTACCACATTGTTTCCAAACTTTGGTCTGCCAAAAGGAGTTCGCCATTTAGATGTAGCCACGGCATTTACAAATCGGGTAGTTAGCCCGGTCAACGAAACTCTCACGTTGAAATCTTCTAATTACACTCGACTTAAGGGCAATGAAGGAACTCTGATTGATGGTTCCAAAATGAAATGGTCAGCCGATGGCGATTTGTTCTTGAGGTCTGTCAACGGTACGGTGATTCTGAGCTCTGCCGATATTTCCTTGGACGTACAAAACTTACCCGTTGTCTTATCTAATAAATTTGCCGCTCATCAATATAAATTGTGCATATGCATGCCCAGCGGTATGATATTTCGAGTACCAATACCGAATAATTATAATTCTTACATGGCCTGTAACATGGTCAATTTAATTGGCGGTGACCATCCGTGTACATAAACAGGTACAATGTGTTTTAAAATTAACTAATTCATTCTATTATTATTTAATTGTTCATTAATTCAATGCACCTACTTATTTTAGCTGGAATTAACTATTTAAAAATTGTAATGTTTTATTTTGTTTTTTTTAGAATAGATATTATGGATACCTCAAGACAGTATACCATCTTTAAAAATGTTGTTTGTCGTTATTAAGCATAATTTTTACAACAATAATTATTTTAAATAAATATGAAAACTGTTTCTTTTCCTACTTGCATTTTAATTTATTAACTTATATTAATTAGTAAAATATATGTTTGTTGTTATTTTTTTTTTAAACAGGATTTTATTGTAGTAATTAATCACATTGTTCTTCGACATCGGTTAGCATATTATAGTATAGTATAGTATATACTTAAGAATACTTATCTCTAGTCTTTACATCTAGTCCATTTTATATATAGACTTATTTATGTTGTATTATAGTTGATTATGTTTTGAATTTACTTACTTTTAATGTTGTTTACATTTTAATATATTATAACAATAATATAATAGATCAAGCCCATTTATTATGATCATAAAACTACTATTTTACACGATTCTACATACCATGTCTAGTTAAAATTGTTAGAATATATGAGACACACTGTATTATTCTAAAATAAATGTGACAATGCTTAAGTTAGGTGGTCAACTAAAATTGTCTACCTTTGATGGCTAAGTAAATATTTGGCCTTTTTCAGTCTAACGGTGTTCCTAATATATCTTTTTTTGTTTTGTAACTTTTAAATTAATAATTAATATATTAGTAATGTCAAACTAACCAGACCTTATAAAAAGAAAATGTATGTCAATTTTCTCATGAAAGAAATATAATTCAGTTTATTGTATACATTACATAATATTTCATACTTAAAATATATTTTAACACACAGCTCTGTTATAAAACTTATAGCCAATTATTGATGTAGCGAAAAAAATGTATTGACGCTAATATTTTGCCGTCTGGAATAATTATGAGTTACTATTATATTATTTTGAATAGTATGTCATGTTAGTAGATAATAATAATGTAAAAAAGTATATGTATTAAAAATCAACTGTAATAATCAAGTACTTGTACAATTTGCATTTTTCATAAATAAAATATGTTTATAAAGAATGGTTACTCGTTTTCAAGCTAGATTTCTTTTAGGACGGGCTAATTTACTGAATGCTGAACTGAACATTGTGTTGCCTATATTCAGAAGCACATAGATTTGTATAATATTATGTTACCATTGATTATAAACATATTAGGTATATTTATGCTCAATTATGTTACGTTATATTATACTATTAATATAAACGTACGATAATATGTTAAGAGATTCGATTATTTTGGCCAAGGTCATCCAAAGTATTTTGAATTTTTTTCTTGACACATCTTTTTATAGCATCTTCGGCCATCAAAAAAATTCAGTTTTTTGTGTAAAATTATCTCGGCTTTCTGGAAAAAAATATTGATTTTTTTTTTCGAGTAACAAAAAGTCATTTAAATTGAGTTTAAATTATAAAATGTTTGTTTTTTCGTGTTATCCAAAATTTGAGAATTTTTCTAATATTTTTTTCAGAAAGCCGAGATAATTTTACATAAAATGTGTAAATTTCAAATTGGGTTCTCCATTAAAACGCTCAGAATAACAAAAAAAAGAGGCATTAGTCGTATTAATCTGATGTCAAGATGTCTCAATTTTATCTTTAGCTCTTGTGTGGACACGAGAAATTTGCATCAATGTAACATTCCATCCTCTATCTATTCAAGTAGATCGACTTGAAACAAGAGCGTCCTTTATTTTAGAACTGATCCGTATTCGATACACAATAATTGTATAAAAACTACTTGTCGTGCTCAATGTTCACTCGAACGTCATTATGTGACCTTAAAGAAGTCCAGGCAATACCAGTTTTTGTTTAAAAAAATGCAGCTTATCTTAGTGACAACATAATGGACGTGGCTTGAACACTGTAATTAAATCAAACAGTTCAATATCATTCAGACACTTATTTTATCATTTATTTTGTAACCTGTATATTTGTTAAGAGATTACATAGACAATTCTTAACAGCATCATTTTAGTTACGTTAAATTTGTGTAATAATATACATTATTTTCTATGTAAAAAAAAAAAACTAGCTACTATCAAATTGTTGAAATTATAATTGTCTAGTATTTATTTAAATGGTTGATTGTATAAAATGCATTATAATATTTTGTTATTATTATTGTAATGGAATATTACAACTTTTATAAATGTCATAAACTTGTTACATTAAGTTCAAAAATATCAAAAAGTTGACAAACACAAACCAGACTTTTAATGAATTTACTTAATACTTTCACACTATAATAAAAAAAAAAAAAAAAAAGGAGGAAACATACACTGAAGCTTATTAAATTGCAGCACTTCAAGCACTTTCCATAGCGACTTCTTCACATTCGACAGCTGCAGAATCGTCTTCCACCATTTCTTGTTGTTTTTCGTATGCTTTCTGTAACTCTCCTAATGTAATACCTCCCACTGCTTTCAGTTTTAAAATATCTATTGAGGAAAAAAGTAAAACGTGAGATGATTATTACAATTATTGCTTAGTATTATCCCATCGTTAACAACGCTTACTATCGTTTCCATTGAGTATAGAAAGAAAACCACCGTGTGCCATTATTCTGACTAAATGTTGGGCAGTGGTGCACAACACGTCTTGTTGTTCTAAAGTGAGCAGGGTTTGTACCCTCAAGTTTCCAGTTTCACAAGGGTCTACAATACCCGCTGCCCCGGGGAGAAACAATCCGCCAGCCAACAGTTGAATAACTCTTCTGTACGCTATTTGAATGGGCAACGTTTGTTTGTTATTCAACAGTGAACGATGAGCCTAAACCAAAATTAAAAATATAAAATGTCGGTAGCACAAAAATGTGGTTGTACATTATTTACCAGCAAGTCGATCATCCACGGATTAAGACATTGTAATCCACTAAATCTGTTACGTAAATCTTTGAGAAGTCTGACGAGCATTTTGTTTGATGAATGAGACGCGTTATCATCGAACCATCGACTAAAATATCATCACAAAATTATATAAAATATTAACAGCGATTATAATATTATTTAAGAGTATAAAACATGGTTTAAATGCTCAGACGAGAAGAAATTCACACCAACTATTATTTTGAATACAATTTTAATTACAAACCACAGAACTAAATTAATATAAACGGAACAACTATTTGTACAATAAAATCGATAATATAGAATTTACTTACAAACATAACAAAACGTTGTCAAACAACTCGTCTAGGTAATAATAGTTAATAATTTAAAATTTAAAAGGAAAAGTACCTATGGCGAATCGCACCCATATGTAATTTCATTGCATTTGCGTCTAAATGTAATCCGGCAGTTAGTTTTTTCAAATTAGCAGTTACAGTTGAAATAAGAATGCGTACAGTGCCTTGAGACGTAATAATATCAAATCCTGTACTGTCGGGCGCCATCGAAACATCTAAAAAGCAAAAAAATATGACATGTCGGAACCTCACAAATTATTTAGAGTTAAAAAACAATTAATAATGTTACCTTGTACAATATCTATTCCTGTGGTGTTGTTTTCCTTGAAATCTTGGATTATACGCTGTGACAGTATAACAACACTTTCTTTGGTTGGTAATGTTTTGAAAATAACAACAATATCAGCAACAGTATGGCCCTTCATTATAGTCGCTTTTTTGAACGATCCAACTACTCTTACTTCTTCGATCTTAAGTATAAAAGTGACGTTATCACTCATGGGTACGTTAATAATTACCATTGTGTACATAGCGTATACTCACGGATACTTCTGTTTTACCCGGAGAAATTATAATATTATCTAAAATTGATTGTATTTTTGTAACGACGCCCAATAACGCAGAATGGTCTTCAGGGCTAGGTGTCAGCACCTGTACCCTTTTCAACAACGCCTGAGACAGAAGTCAGTGGAAAATGGTTGTAGAAGACAACATTCAAAATCATTAGAAACCCACCACCAAGTACTTACGGTGTTGAATGCCGATTCTTCTGTGGTATAAACACCAGGCTTGACACGGGGAAATGACGTTTCGCATAACACTATATCAAAAGGATGTCTATACACTCTACGGTTCATGAACGGAACAATCAACGGTGGTGCACTCAACGGAGGTGGAAAACGGTTCATGTTCATACGTGCACCACTACGAACCATCGTTGAAGTTGAAAATCGAGTTTGTTTAAAATTTAACTACCAGATCAGAAATCTGAAGTGCTAAAAAAGTATAACTTACAATTAATATTAAAAATCCTAAAAGCAAATACTATACTCTATAAGCTGCTGTAGCTTGAAAGCGATAGCCGATAATAATTATTATAAACAAAGTTTACGCTACTACACAGGAAAATTGATTATAACTCATACTTACAACCTAACCTAAAACTCGTTTCATGGAGTAAAAAAAAAAATGATAAGATTATATAACATAATTATACATAATAATTTAATATAAATTATAATTGGTAATGGTTTAATCTTCTGGAATAATGTTCATAATAAATGTTTAATAATAATATGTTCGTTCAACATTGTCTCCGCTGTAACTGTATCCGCATGACTTAACAATAAATTCTGTTGAATAAATTGAAATATCTACAATTAACAATGTTTACTATACACATTATACAATATTTAAATAACCTTTTTTTTTATCCAATTATATTACTCCGTTATAATTCGTGTTATCGGCTGCACAACATAACGTTTTTATGAACTCACAATCTTGTTTGTCGTTCCGGGTGGAATATTGCAGCTCAAATTTCGAGCACTTCCCGATTAGCTATCCGGCTGAAACTTTCAGGGTAGCTCACAATTCGATGACAATGCATTATTAATCCACAAGAGGTTGAAAATTTCATCCCTAAGGGATTAAAATGGGGTCGATTTCTTGTCCGTCGTTCCGGGTGGAATCTTGCAATTAAAAAAGGCTTATTTCTCACAAATCAGCAAAAATTATGCGTGGTGCGTTTGGGCGTGAACGGTGCTCAGATATGAGAGGTACTACCAGGTTCAAAAACCCGTTCCCATCATTACACTTTTTTGCATTTTCTTACAACTTTTATGATAATTTATACAGTAATAAATCTAAAATTATAAGCTTTTAAATTGATTACTAAATCTTACAATGGCGTAGAGAGGAATTTTTTATGGGGGGGGGGGGTTCAAGGTTGGAAAAAAGAACTCGTTAAATTTATTTCACTTATAACAAAATATCTATTTTCTTGGCTTTTTGGCAAATTCATCTCGATAATAGCTTAGAAGAACTAAGCCATTTAGACGATCCTGTTTAAAATAAGTTAGATGATTAAAACAATTAAAATTGTATATGAGCACATTTACCTCTTTCATAGTATTTCTAAAGTATGTTTTTACTACTTTTGAACAATTGTAATTTTTATATTGATAACTGATATGTGATAAAACAACTAACGGTATTATACAATTTAAGTATTAAGCTAAATAAAGTGTAAGGGGGGATGAACCCCCTAACCCCCCCCCCCGTGTCTACGCCACTGAATTCTTATGATAATCCTTCTGACCATGCAGCCTTTTCTAATGTAATCACCGCTTACAGACGAAATGGACGGATTTTATTATATAATATTGTAATAATATTATTTATATGTAAAATATCTGTATATAAATATATGTATATTCATTATATAACATTGTACATTTAAATATATATATATAGATACGTACATACGAAAACAAAAAAGAACAAAACAACTAAAGTAGATTAAAAAATTAATCTAAAAATAACGTTTTTATGCGCCTTACAAAGTATAAAATTGAAAAGACTTAATTGCTATTCTCTCCAAAGTTTGTTTTATGTAGGTTGCTTCAATTTTTTTGTTAACTACCTACTTGCTTAACATTCAAAGTAATGTGGTGCTCAATTTTACATGACATGTCATTATATAATATTTTATTTAGAAGAGAAAAGATGATTGTGCATGAATTATGAGTTAATGAGAAGATAATGTTATTATATATTCAGACTTTTTAAGGCGCATAAAAACGTTATTTTTAGATTAATTTTTTAATCTACTTTAGTTATTACAAGCTTATAATGTATTAATAGGAAAAACAAGTACGGATTCAATATTGACCCTTGGCGAGCCCTACGGCATTCTCTCACCAGACATTCTTCTGTTTTACTACCGTACAAATTCTCAGCACTTGTTTTCGCTTATCTGTGCATAAATTCCTTTGGTTTTTTCTTCGCTGAAATTGCCAACATACTATTCTTGCAACGCTATCACAACCTGGTAATTCTTTATAGTTGATCATTTTCAATTTCATCCTTCCATTAAATTATTATAACGATAACCTGTTTTGAATAATTACTTACTTATACTTTATTTACATAGTCGTTGAAGTTTAGAACAGTGGAAAGTCATGTAATATTTTTATCCACACTAACTAACAGAACAGTTGAAATACAGTTGTGGAATGTAATTAACATCGTTTAATACTATGCTTAAAGCGCTTTTTAAGTAAAATAAATAATAAAACTCATAACCTACACGTTTCGCTGGTGTGACTGTTTAAATATGTCAAATAAATACATGCAACGTCTTCGTGTTGTTTTGATTTTCTAATAGAGACGGACTAAGGCGACAAAGAAAAACTATGGTCACGAAAAGCTTAAAATATTATTATTCACAACTAAAAACGCCGAGGAAAAATTTGTACAACTCAATAACTCAAAATTTGTTATAAAATGAATTATACATATTAAAACAGGCAAAGTCTCGCGTCCTAGACCTCTGAAGATGAAGCGTGTCACTCTAAGAAAGTGCTCAAGACATAACAGCGACGACCTTTATCCTGTCTTGTACAACTGACACTGGAATAGTATTTTACCTAATTAAAAATGCCTACTCGATAATACTATTATTATTATTATAATATGTATAGTTTAAAAAATGCGAGTATAATTTATTCTCAAAATATTTTATTACAAATAATTTGCCAATTTTACAACAATTATATATTTATTTAAAACAAAAATAATATCATAGTATAATCACAATGTTTTGGTCACTAGTTATTACAATAAATATGTTTTTATAATTTAGGCAATATACAATTACATTAAACATGCAACAATTTGAATTGAAAATATTTGAAGAAAAAATGGAAAATATAATATAAATTAGGTTTTTAAAACACTAAATGTACAGAGTATGATCTTGGCATCACAGTTGCGACTGATCTCTCGTACAGCCAGCACTAGGCAAGAGAAAATCAATCTAAATCAAGAGAAAAAACCTGGATCTCTTTACCAGACTCAGAGCCGACATACGGTGACAAATTGGGCACTGACAGAAGCAATATGGCGCTCTTCTGTAACTGTGTCTTCCTGCACAGAATCCTATACGGGTTACTATTCTGGTAACTCACTGCCGAGTCCAGACGTGATAGTAAAATACTCTGCCAACTGCAGATCTCTGATCGGCCAAACGGGTGCCTCGCTCCAGATCATTGCCGCTTGATCTAATGACAAGATGCCGAGTCGAAATTGAGTTATTACGAAGACGTGATCCTCCTGACAAAGACAGGCTCTACGGGAACAACGGTTCGCTCTCAGTGACAGTTGGCAAGCGAGATGGTGCAACTGGTGGACACGCAGACTTTTCCCAAACGTTGCCCGAAGATTATCTATTCCTCTCTATCTGAGGCATCATGTCGTGTAATTCCTCACTGATCACGGGGACTTCAAGGCCAAGCTCCGTTCACTGGGTCTTGCAGACGATCCGGAAATCGGAGAACCAACTTCTTGCTGCCCGGGGGAGGTACACGACCAGGAATCGGCTCGTCACCTACCTGGTGTTCAGTACCTCACACCCGGACCTATTGAAGTGTTCCTGCCTCGATTTCATTTTTTATCCGAATTCTTATTGTTTGAGCCATGTGTTGATAGTAGCTCAAAGTATGGCCGGCGGCGAGTCGCCTCGCGCTCTCACAAACGAAGACCCCGCAGTCGTACCCATTGTACTGTTGCGGACTTACTCCAAGCTGAATGGTCCATGGTTCTACTAAAGGGGTGCCCCTTTTGTCCAAGGACTCGTTTTGTAAATAATCCATCATTACATCCAAACAGACGTCGTCAGCTTTGTTTAAGCTGTCGTATAGCGTTATCGTCTTCTCTTTTGGCTTTACTTCTACTAATCTCCAGTGCTCATTCTCGTTGACCGGTATGAGGATCAAATCATAACTGAACACGTCAACTTTTTTTGTCCACCTTCGCACTTTCTCATATCCCCCACAGGATAATGCGGGGAAAAAGAAAGTGTCGAAGGTGGCAACGTTGACGTGTTCATTTCGAATAAGCTTGAAATAATTATTTATTATTTGATCCCCATACCAGTCCTCGTCTATTTTCACTGGGTGAGCTGTTAGGAGCTTAAATTTCTTGATCGGTGGTAAACTATTCGTAGAAGATAATGTCCTCTTAGTTCCGGTGTTGATAGGAAGCGATATTTCTCTTGAATACAACGAAGCTTGTGGAGTTTCTAAATGAAAAATAATAATTTAGACGCAACTCTTAATAATTATAAGTCATAGTTAAGCATAGTCTTGCTTAACACTTAAGGACATACAATACATTTATATTATTTAAGCAACTAACTGTCCAATTCTATTTGTAATAAAATTTCGAAAATTACTTGAGTCCAAAGTGGTTTTTTGGGCAAGTCCACTCAAATTTGAACCGAGAGCACTTGAAGTAGATGGTTTATTACCACTAGTAGTCTCTTCCACTGGTGTGACGGTCGGCTTAACAATCTTAGAAAGGCCATCGTCCATGCGTTTTATTACCATCAGTAAAGTTCTCGTGCTGCGGTTGTCACTCAACATTGAACCGAGAGCACTTGATGTTAATGATTCACTATCTCTAGTAGTCTCTTCCACTGGTGTGACGGTCGACTTAACAATCTTAGAAAGGCCATCGCCCATGCGTTTTATTACCATCAGTAAAGTTCTCGTGCTGCGGTTGTCACTCAACATTGAACCGAGAGCACTTGATGTTGATGATTCACTACCTCTAATAGTCTCTTCCACTGGTGTGACGGTCGACTTAACAATCTTATAAAGGCCATCGCCCATGCGTTTTATTACCATCAGTAAAGTTCTCGTGCTGCGGTTGTCACTCAAAGACATTGTTCTTTTCAGATGACTACAGCAATGTCAGCGAAAGTTTAGAATTACAAAGTAATTACACAAGCAATAACAAAAAATATTTAGAGATATAAGAAGATATAACAAGATACAAGAAAAATATGTAACATAAATACTTTTTTATGAAAATCATAAACGATAGTTGTTTAGAAAACAAACACGTGTATCGATAGCTATACAAATATATATTGTAAATGGTTACTTTAATTTGGCCAGTAAAACTGTCAACTACATTTAATAGTATTCTATTATTTATTTAAAATAGTTTACGCCAAAATGGCGGCAATAGATTACAGAGTAAATAATCTTAAAGAAATTAATTAAAAATAATTATAATACAACCAAAAAAGAAAAACGTTGCATAATTAATCGTCAAACAACATTATTTAGAACGCTTTTTAAAGCGTTCTAAATTTTCTAAATTTTCTAAAGTTTCTAAATTTCTTCTGGCTAAAGAAATCCAAATGATTATCATTTATTGCTTTATTTGAAGCCATCAGCACTCGGTTAATAATAACTATACATCTGTTTGTAAGAGGATAATATAATATCAAATAGATGACGTTAAAAGAAACAATATGTTTGATATTTCAGCACATATTGTTTAGACCATAAATGCAACAGACATCTGCAGACAACAACACACCCAAGGTGCTAGCTAAGCTAACTTATTTAAAATATTAGATGCAATAACATTTAGATATGTGCTGACTTTGTTTTAGTGGTTATCTATGCAGTCATTCTTATAAAACACCGTTGAAGGCTATCGGTTTTGTCCGAGATAACCCTGTGTTGATAAATAAACACCAAATATAAATACTTATATTGGATTGCATACATTAGGAAACCCCGTTTCACAAAATTGAGGTACAAACATTGAAATCAGCACAATTCGGCTAAAAAGCATGATTTTACAAAAAATAAAAAGCCCTAATAAGTGTTGTTTTATAAACCAAAGTACAACTTTGATTAAAAAAAAATGTCTGTAAAATAATATTGTGATAGCTACTTACTACAAGTATTGCAATATTCTCAAAGTTTATACTGTTTTCTATGTGACACTTTTTTTTTGTTTTTTTTCAGCATGTAATACATAACATTAAGCATGACATCAAATAATAATGTTATATATTTTCATACACAAGACAACTGTTAAAGTTTTGATGCTAACCAAAGGGCCAATTTTATTTATTTATTTGAATTTAACGGGTTTGACAACCCGATTACACGTTTAGTATTAGATTTACAGTGTAAAGTAGTATTTATAGTACATAGGTACATTGTTTATAAAGTAGATAACAAATGAATTATAAAATAATTTATACTTACAATTTATAAGGGTAATAAACAATAATACAATGATCTTGACGAACAAAATAGGAATAATAATACTTTTAACTACTTATTTACAACTCTTACAAAATTCTGAGGCAAAATTACAATAGTTTTAGTTAAAAAAGAAAATGTACCTAGAAAAATATTGTTTCGGTGTCTTCTGAAAGAAACTCAAAATTTGAAACTTGACCCTTGTTCTAATATAAGCGTCTGATAGTTCTGTTCACGTTTGCTAGTTTAACGAATGTCAAACAAATAAATAAGACAACAGCCGTGTATTTTATTTAATATTGTCTCATTCGACACTGGATTGTGAGATTTCTTTTTTCTTTCCTTTTTTTTTTTTACTCCAAAGTTCTGTAGAAATAATTTAATTACAAGTACAAAGGCGATGCAAGCAGAGGACGCACGTCTAAACGCATTAGGTTATTGTTAGAAACGTCTGTCTGCTTCAATTTTAACTTCTTGGGGTTTTTTTTTTTTGTATAATATATTTATAAATATTGTTTGCATGGTGGTACCCCTTTGAATGGTTGTGTGTCAAATAAGCTCTGTGTCGTGCTCTTGATTTGCGGATGCCTACTGACTAGTAACATAGTGTTAATATCTGTAATTACTGAATAAGTGAAAATATTTCCATAATAAATGTGTTAACAAATGTTTGTAAAAAGTCCTATTGGTCGTAGCCTAACCTAACCCGAAGCAGTGAAACAAGTGCTGATTTTTATGACAATACTATAACCTATATTATTATGTATTAGTTAAAATTATTTGTATTATTTGTAAGATATTTAAACCTAAATATTATACAGTTTGATATGCGATAAGATATAAGAATAATTCGTTAGGTATACAGGCAAAGAGAATGATTGTCTTCTTCGTCTTCGCCTTAGGCAAAGATAATGATTATAATGATTCAACAAAATATAGCCATTTTAAAATACTTTGGTATATTTAAATGTATAATAAATATACAATTTGGTTTATCGCTGTTAAATTTCATAATCGCCAAACTCGCGATGACTGGCCGGCGCACTGTCGGGGAAAGGCTCCAGCTCTTTGTAATCGTTCAGTAGAGTTTCCAGGTCTTCCCTGGCGTCTCGGAATTCGGCCTTTTCCATTCCTTCGCTTTCGTACCAATGGATGAACGCCCGTTTGCGGAACATCAGGTCGAATTTATGGCACAAGCTCGTCCACGCGGCCGCTATGGCTGTCGTGTTGGACATCATGCATACCGCCCGGCCACAACCGATCATGTCGTCGCCGCCGGCCACGGACGCGGGAGGCCGATAATTGATGCCCACCTTGAACCCGGTCGGACACCAGTCGACGAATTCCAAATGTTTGGTGTTTTTCAAGTGCGAGATGGCGTAGTTGATGTCTTTGGGCACGGCGTCACCGCGGTACAGCATGCAACATGCGATGTACTTGCCGCCGCCGTTGGCCGACCGCTTGTTGTCCAGGCGGAACAATTGATTGCCCTGTTCGAAGCAGGCAACGGTTATGTCCTTGATGGACGGACACTCGTGCGCGGACTTGTGCGATGACACGAACGGTGCGTACGCCAGCAGGGGGAAGTGTATGCGCGGGAACGGGACCAGATTGGTCTGGAACTCGTTGATGTCCACGTTGAGCGACCCGTGAAATCGAAGGGACGCCGTGATGGACGACACCACCTGACTTATGATTCGGTTGAGATTGGTGTACGTGGGCCGTTCCACCTCTAGCTTGCTGGAGCTTATGTCGTATATGGCCTCGTTGTCCACCATGAACGTGCAGTCGGTGATGTCCAGCGTCTTGTGCGACACCAGCACGGAATTGTACGGTTCGACGATCGCGGTGGACACCCGCGGCGCCGGGTACACCAGCACTTCGAGGTTGCTCTTTTTCGTGAACTCCTGTTTCAGGCACTCGGACAGCGCGCCGGTCAGACCGGATCCCGTGCCGCCGCCCATCGAGTGGAATATGATGAATCCCTGGACGCCGCCGCACGACTCGGTGAACATGCGCACCGCGTCCATTACCTTGTCCACGTACGGCCGGCCCTCCGAGTAGTATCCGCGGGCGTAATTGTTGGCCGCGTCCTCTTTGCCGGAGATCAACTGATCGGGATGGAACAGAGTCCGGTTGCGGCCGGCGCGGATCTGGTCAATCACCGTGGGCTCCAGATCGACCATCACCGTCCGAGGCATGTACTTGCCGGTGGTGGTCTCTTTGTAGAACGTCGAGTTTTCAGACTGACAGTCCGTGGTACCGCCGGGCGACGTAGCGAAACCGTCCTCACCGATTCCGTGTTCCAAGCCATACAATTCCCATACGGCATTGCCCATCTGCACGCCGGCCTGTCCTACGTGGATTGTAATCACTTGACGTTTGTTCTCCATTTTTGATTTTTTTTTTTCGGAAATTTAAAAAATTTGAACGCGTTAAGTCAAATTTAGTTCTTTAAAAGGTTTGAGTTAAAATATATTCACAATAGATCACTGTTTAAAAGATTTCGTTTAAAATTTAACAGCGATGTACACGCGTTGATTTTAATAACAACTCAGAAATGCAACTGAATGCGGTCTCGTTTGTTTGTTGTCAAGATTTTTTTATTAATAGCCAGTATTATTATAGCCAATCTAAATAACAACCAGGTTATTTGTTATTTAATTATAAACGGTAATTTTTAGCTTCGATGCGAAGCTGTTTTTACAATGATGTGTTTCTAATTTGTTTTTTTTTTTCTGGACTCGAGATATCTCTTAAGGAGACCGAAAAGAGCTGTGTAAATCGTGTGCAAATACAGACAAAAATACGAGTCGCTTTTTATGTGGTGTCTCCGAAATATTTTTAAATATTTTACTCGAATATTTTTTTTGTTTGTTAAAAAGTTTAAAATACCATCTAGAGTGGATTAACAAGGCCGATTTCTTATTTTTGTTATACCACTTTTGTTGCTACCTACATTAAGTGTAGTTTTCTTAAAAAATAGACTACAGGTAGATATTTTAGTGTAGCTCTATAACACTTTTGTTTTATACTTGACATTTGGACAAGTTCATACGTGTTTTTCGTAGACAACTGTATTATGATTAAATTATTAAATTTACTCTGAAAGTATGTGTCCAGTTCATATACATACAACCAGTAACAAAATAAAATATTAACGAGATGCAGAATTTGAACTCCCGTCGTTAGTGCTGTAACAATAACGATGGAAATGTATACAATATAATATTATGTAAAAAAAAATTAAAAAACGATGTAGCTATAGTCAAGTGTACTTTAGGGGCCCCAAGGTGAACCAGCTAGGAAGAAAGCCGGCGCAAGTATGAAAATATATAGGATTAGTTTTAAATAATAATATTTTATGCATTTATGCGCCGCATCGCGGTACCAATAACTCTTATAGGTAGACCTGTTGAAGTCCACGTTATGTTATGTCTACCCCTCGAAGAAAGTATATTATGATTACCATATTGTGTTTTGATAGTATAAAAAAAAAAAAAAATTATATTCAAACGAAAGGCAAGGATAGGGTAACAACTATATTATATAACGACCCCGGCATAATATTATTATCAGCTTAAATGACTAGTCGGAACTCGGCAAAACTGGTTGGATTCTAAACGCCTTTAACAATGCATTTATCATTTATTTGTTCGACAAAACAAAACAAAAATGAAATGAAAAATAACGAATTCATGTTTATTTATTATGCTAGTCCACCGATAGTGTAATAATTACTCATCTCTTTTTTTTTGTTCTAGAGCTGCGCTGCTGCGGCCGATTAATCAAACACACTCAAGGAAAATTACACATTCGGATTACATAACCAGCTGATGCTATAGGACTTTTACAATACCGCTTTGGGTTCATCAAACTTGTCGTGTAATAACCTCGGATGAACTTTTCTGGCGTTTATCGCGTATCTAGTGTCCTATCCGCGACCAAAGCTAATATTTTATTATTAAAAAATGGACCGTACATTGAAACCTAACAAATATTATGTTACCAAGACACGAGCGACAGAAACAGAGCTGTGCGTTGGGTATGTGTTTTGATCTTATCATTTTGGCCAAACTACTAGATCTATCTCTCTCCAATATCATAATTATGTATAATAACTGTAGATATTTATTTGTGCGACCAAGCAAATAAAAATATAAAAAAATGGTACAATTTTTTTCAATCGAAGGCCTCACAAATAGGTACGATTAGAAAATGCCGGAAGATTGCGTTTAAAACAACTTTGCGCTTTATCTAAACCATATTAAAGAGTTCTTGACAATTTCGACTTTCATTTTATTCTTCTAGCGTGTTACTTAATGCAATTAATTTTTTTATTTCCGCACGCAATGCTCTTTGTTAAAAATTGTAAGTCATTTGCCAACAATAGCAGGTTGTTAACATAATGTTAATGTGTGTTATCGTTACAATATATTGTTATTGTATTATCCGCAAAACGTTAACTTGCATGCACATAATATTGTTTATATATAAAAATATTATACTGCTCGATTCGAGTCGATAATTATTGTTTATACAAACAATTTGAATGTACACATTTTTAATTTATGCACAATATTATAACGGTGGACGGTTGTCGTCCTACACTACGTTTCATTGACACTATACTATGCTAATGTCCTGTATATTAGGTCGTTGTGAAAACATAATCAGTAAATCTTTGTGATCATAGTTTGTAAAAAACTATGTGAGCGTGTTAAATTAGCTATTTTGTTGTATACTTATACCGGACGGCGAAGGGGGATTGAGTAATGCATACGCAGATAAAAATAATACTTAATATCTTTCATCCTTCCTAGGTAAGGTTTAAACTGTAATAACTTAGTAATTCCATAGAAATCCCATGAACTGTTCAAATGTTAGCACAAAGTATATATTTTGTGTCACGTCCATAGTTGGGTTCAATAATAATAATTATGTTGTGTTTGCGCAATTTCTCCGACAAACGCATCTCGGGCGAACCTTGAGGGGAAAAACATAATATTAAATTTTATGTTGTAAAAAAAAACCATCGGAGTGTGTACTTGAACGTCCGTTAATTGTGCAATTTGTTCCGAAATGAAATGAAAACGCCTTGTATAGTGGCAAATTAACATAAGAAACAGTCGGAACAACTTATAATAACAAGCTCGTCGAAGGTCTGCCGTGGCCGCGATTAAGTAAAAAAAAAAAACTTATTATAATAATATTAATTGCATTACGGTGTGTCTGTGGTTTTTGAAATCTGGGTTGAAAGTGAACGTGTGCACTCAGTAAACTTACTTATGTGTACTTAACGCAAACGCTCGTCGTTATAATTATTGTTCGTCCATATACTTCTTTTAACAATGCTTAAATTTTTTGATAAAAATCACAATTTCTTAGTTTGCCCGTTTGCAATAAGTAGGTACACTTTGTCGACGTTTATTCATAAAAAATAGTTTATTTCAACACCGTCAGGCCTATATTATCCCAACAAGGCTATAGCTTGGGAGTGTTAGGCTTCAGGAATAGTAGATAAAACCAGTACACGCGCTAGCTGGGAGAAACAACTTTTGAAAATTTGGGACAGGGTAAGATTTGTTTTTGACCTAAACTTGTAAGTTCGTCACTCACCTCTCATACGACGTTAAATTTACTCTATAAAAAATGTGACAGTAAAAAAAATGTGTTGTGTATTAAAAATACAAATTTTGACATTTTTTGTCTGGGCATTTACTCGTCAAGCTTAGGGTATCGTACTATATAGTTTCAAAAGTGAAAAGCATACATTCGTCCAAAAATAGATGTTGTTATTCAAACTTCAAGGCTTAAATTCATACATGTATATGGTATTGAGTAAACTCGAGAAGAACATTGTTAATTAAATACAATTAACTGAAAACCGAGTTAGAGAATTGTGTTTGGCAAAACAATTAAAACTAATCTACTTCATGCTCTAATATTTTCATAGAAAATATATTGTTTAATAGCTAAATTAACAAGATAACTAAAAATAACACTATCACTGTAGTGTATATACTATAAGAGAAAAATGCACTAGGGCAAAAAAAGTGAATTTCATAAAATTTAATTAAACATAACATATTTGTAGTATTTTTTTTAAATAAAATTATGCGTTTGTTTTTCAAGTTTAGATCATAATACAGTTTTTACCTTGAATTGAAAAATGATCGGACCAAATTAATATATTTTGTTATAGGCTATACTCATTGAGTATTTCTCTGCCAAACGATAAGTCTATCACAACAAATCATCACTTCGTAAGGAAAGACATGTTTTTCAACCCATCTTTAGAACGGAAAAGCTGTAAGTGCATGTAAAATAATAAGCAAGTGGGTACGCATTTCACAACAGTGTATAATATGTTATGATTATTATAAAAAGATACAAGGACATTTTACTTTCGTGGTCAAGTCGCAAGTATAATAATACGAGCTATGATTATTTTGTAGTAAACTTTCTTTATAATTTATATATAAAATGTGTGTCAAATAAAAACACAAAATAAGTAGAACGCTGCAGCCTGCACTGAAGACAATTTCACGGAAACCGATTGAATTGATAAAAAAAAAAGACATCTTAAAACACCCAAGTTATTTAGTTACGGTCGTTGAAAAGCAAACACACGGAGATATCCATATAGTACGTTTATACCGGCTTGTACCACGTCGTCCTTATTGTTATGGCGATGAAGCAATTACCGGGTGACTATTATTATAGTACGTGATATCCAACATAATTTTTTTTCGCAATTTTATCCCAAGTACAATAATATTCCACTTTTTATTATGTATACGGCACACACGCACACAGGCAGATTTATTTTGAAATCACCTTGTTTCCCTTGGGATTACAAATTCCAATACTGCCCGTATTTAATACCTAGTACGATATAGATAGACCATATTAATTTCCAAACCAACATCATGTGTAAGGTTATAGACGTGTATGTTATAGATATATATATATATATATATATAAGGTTATACGTTATAGCCCTGAGTCACTTTGATAAGATCCCAATTGATAATTCTGATCTTGTACTCATTTCTGGCAACAAGTGACCATCATAGTCGCACTAATTGCACAACGTTCATGTCTGATAACATATCCTTACACATAACACAATGAGTATTACAATGTTTGAATAAATCAACGCGTTTATTGCAACAAAGTATTTGGATAATATAAGCCGTAATGACTATAATGTATAATATAGTTTATATAATGAGTAATATAAATAATAATTTATCCATAAAGAACAATTAAATACTGTCAGGTGTACATAAAGTGTCTGTGAATTTTTTTTTATATGCATATATTACCTTTGTAGGTTGTTGTTTAGCACTTTTCCACGTACGAAAAAAACTATATAAGATAATAAATATATAAATAATATCCATAAAAAAATAGTGGCGTAACTCAGAGTGAACTTCAAAGGAACGGTCAGATTGTAGTAAATCATATTTAACAGTATTATGGTTAAAAAGATACTATATCAACTAAGAGTCTTCACTCCACACCCCTCGGATAATAAGACATGCATTCTTCGACTAATATAAAATAAAATATAGCATCCGCAATTAATCTTGAATACATGTAGAAATTATATTATTGGAGCTTACCAATGAGTAATAAAATAATTTGTAATTACTATTTTAAATTAATATATTTAATATTACTATTTAAACTTTTATAAAAAAAAACATATTTAAACATACCTACTTGATATGCATTTTATACTTATTCACAAATAAGTATAAAATGTGTGTGTGTGTGTGTGCATATGAATACATGGATAATTAGCCTGATAAAAAACATTCATAAGTAATAAAATACCTTATCCTGAAAAAATAAGAATACATTTAGGTTCTCTAAAACGTTCAATCATTTTTGAACCAGCGGATCATTTTTTTTGTTGGAAATTAAGTTAACCAAATTTGTTTAATGGGCTTGAATGAAGTAAAATTTGCCAGCCAGTCTGGAGTTGGTCTTCACTCCACCACTAATGGTGGTTATTACGCTTTACAAAAAAAATATATATATATGTATAGAACTACATATGTAAGGTAATTTTAAAAACGAAAATAACCATTACAAAGAGTTGTTAAGGGGGCTAAAAAAATAAGAACTAGGGTGTTTCTCTTCTAGATCTGCGCCTGTTCCTTTGCATAAGACGTTTGTCAATCATATTTTTGTACAAGTGCTTCTATAATTTCGAATGTATACAAAAAAAGTGTTTGCGTGATTTAAGTTTTTTTATTGTAAATTTTTTTTTTTTTGTCAATTGCTCACTTGACATAACAGAGTTGTTTTTCATTTTAATTAGTTCCCATCACGTTTTTTCGAACGCGTTCAATATAGTATATATTATATAATTTAATTCGTAACGTGCGAATATGTTATATATTTTATTACTGCTATATCGATCAACGTCGGTGTTATATGATTGCGGTATATATATAATAATGGTTTCCTAGGCTTTATTGTACGATATGTTATGCACACAACTATTGGGAAACAATACTATAAAACAATTGTCACTCGTTCGGGTAGTATCGACATTAAAATAGCACAACTTTTAAGTATAACATAATATTCTGTTGTTTGATATCAATTAAAACGCTTAAATACATACAATTAAGTGTGTATATTATTATATTATTATCTAAACTGGAAGGATTTCTCATAATCCGTTTTACCAAAAAATAGTAGTTATAAAAGGCATCGGCCGGCCCACAGTGATATTCTGATGGGACATCATCAATTCAATTAGATTATACACATATTATTATTTTACTGATGTGAAATATTATCCGCTTCTCTTAAGAAAAAAAGAGTCGGCAATCGCCCTACCTATTATTTTATAAATAATTATTAATATATACCTAATGGCTAATTAGTAATTATATATTTTATGCATTTCCCACTGCGTTGCTGTTCACACGGCCGAAAACATTCTAAACGGTTTTGAACTTGTTCAAGGACAACCGACACTAAAATACATAATATAGTAATAATTATCCGCTTTAATTACACCATTCAACAACATCCACCGGGTTTACTTCCGTCGTTGCCGCGCTTGTTCCGACTTTCGGTTTGCACAGTAATATAATATCATATTATTATACATATTGCGAACACAGCGGATAATATTATTATCCTACACGGAGACGGACCAAACTGGTACTCGTCTGGTTAGGTACCACCTACCTGTTTAAATTACCTATATACGCGCACAAGTCACAATACATAAGCTACAGCTACTGGTGTCGGTCGTTTTTTGACTGTACATAGTATTAAATATCGCATGCAAAAAGAAATGAAAAAAAAAAAACATATTCACAATAATATATTGGTTACTTCCGTTCACGGGCGGAAATACATATATTATATCCTAATTACAGATATACAGTCATACCGTACGTAAATACCACCTACCCATAAAATAATAATTATGTAACAACAAGTTGTAATAGCGCGTTAAAAATAATTACTTTCATCGGGCAAAAAAAAAAAGTACCATTTCCTACTTATTTTTTTTTTATTAGTCATAATACTGTCGTCGCTTTGTTGTTGTTCGGTGTTAACCGTATTATATTATTATGTCACTTTTTGTATTCTGTATAAGAACACAGTCATTGTTCCAGTGCGGGGGTCGAATGCTCTTGGTGATTATGCGTTTAATTGCTCTGAACTTGTATCGACTTCCTAGCTTTTTTTTTTTGTCACTACAATAAAAATTACATCAACTGTACAAAAAAAAAATGAAGGTAATATCCTAGGTATTAAATAATGCATAGTACTGACTAAACTTCAATACAATACACTCACTACAGTCAATTATAATCTGTTGAATAGATATTCTATAAAAGAAAAAATATCGTATATTATCCTTGTTAACAGCAATGAAGAATAACAATAGTATTACTATTGACGGTTGACTTACAAAAATAAAGACTGCTATTAAAACACAAAAAAAAAAAAAATATGTTACAATTTTAAGGTCAACAAAAATATCCTATTGTCTGAATTATACATTTATTTAAATACTACTTTTCGCCCTTAGCAATTTGGTTTTTTTAACAGTTGGTTTATTCATACAATTATTTTAGTAGGTTAACATTTTTTTCCCAATAGATTAAAATCAAAAAGAACTCTGTGGTAAGTCAATGTCAAATTTCACAACTTTGATTAAATATCTTATAAGCAAATAATTCATTAAGGGTGTTTATTTTTTTTTTAGTTATTTAATTATACACTTATACTGCATTAAAGTTATTCATTTATGGTTTAATATAACTTAGAATTAATGTAAATACAATGTGTATTAAACCGGATAAATACTTTGTTTTTAATACTAGAGAAATTACACACAATTTATTTTAATTAAACTCCTAGATTGCAATGTAAGACGTACAGTTGCCAGTGAAAAAATAAAAATTAAATAGTGCAACATACTGCATACATATTATGATGCACACACCGTATTATTAAGACTTTACTAATTGTAAGCAATTAGATTCACTGGCGTAGAAATTAGGAAAATGTAACTCATTAGTATACTCAATAACATCAAATTTTTGTTTTTGAAAGTTGTTTCTGACATTAGAACGTAAACATTATTTTTTTTTTTAAACCGTGTATTAATAGTTATCAATACTTATATTTTCGAATAGAAATCTGTTTTGTTCAGTTTTACCGATGACACTTGCCAGACACTTAACAGAGAAACAAGGTAAAATGTTCGAAACAACAGTGTGTTACTGGTTGTTGTCCAAAATTTACTTATTTATTAATATTAATAATATAATATACATTTTTAAATGTAGCTTTCATTTAGATGTTATATTATAAAGCGTTATTTATTTAAGCGTGAGCTCGACTATTGCTTGCTGAAACTAGCTGATGTATTTTACCATTATTATTATTATATGTTTTTAACATAATATCTATCTTCATTTTACGGTGTTCTACCTTTCCTTTTAATATGTATAAAAGTTGATTGTAAAATTTTTAAAAATCAACCTAGAATATTATAATGTCATGGCTTATATGCTATACAAATTATAAAATATACAAAAAAAAAATGTAATGCTAATAAATAAAATATACTCTACCAACATATTACCAAAGAAATATATATATATTTATTATACATATTATTATCCATTTCTTTGCAAATTTCTTGATTTTTCGCCATTGAGTAACATAGAATGGTTATGCAAACTAACAAAATCTAGCTAATGTCCCAGCTAGAAATCAAATAAATATCTCTTCGACTGAACATGGTTTGAGTTCTTTAAAAGTAGATTGAAATATTATCATCCACATCAGCTTCTTGGTTTACTAAAAAAAAAAAAAATTATACTGGACGTACCTGTTATGTGATTGTATGGCATACAAATAAAATCACCTATGTACCAACAAAGAACCGTAATTAACTTGCTAATTTATATAAATTTTAGCACTTAAATGTTTATACACACAATGTGGTGATGATTGAATTTTGTCTATGCTATATCTGTATTAAAGCCCACCTCTCTCAATATTACCTATGTAATAATATTGTACTGTGTAGTTAGCTTTTAGGTGTAACTTTCTGTTTCTCTAAACGTTTTCCTATGTACCTAACTTCGTGTAAAACATAAGACGTGCGGTGTCTTCCTAAACTTCCACAATCGTTGCGCATGTCGTTTGTGAACTTATTTTTTTGCTATTACGAATAGGGTTTCGTTTTTTTCGCCTCGAGACACTATTTGAAGAAAAAAAAAACACCCGAAAACGAGTAACGGTATATCATATGGTATTGCATACGGATTTCACTGGGATCGAATCCCTCCAAAAAATTTTAAAAAACCGCGCGCTCGTGTAATCCCGCACCGAACACTAACGCGACACAGTGAAAGTGCTACAGGCGGTTTTTAAAAACCACTGCGGTCCAAAAACACCGGCTCAGTACATCCGTACCGGCGATACCGACTGACCGACTCTCTCTCCTCAGACGTTCTGCCGTTGTCTTGCACGTTAATATAATATATTGTTTTTTTTCTTCTTCAAATTTGTCGATAATAATCGTTTGTGTTCTGAACCGTGTTCTGAGCGAAGAGCCAAAGTTTATTTAATTGTTTTTTTTTGTTGTTGGGAGAGGTGTTTTAATAATAACATATTTAACGACAACAACTAAACCTTCCCCGCAAGTACTGCCCGTGTGTAGAACACTCGCTACGTGTAAATGATATTCCGTCGTTAATGTGCTGCCACCCCTACGTGGACCCGAATGTAAAATGACCGTTGGTGGCAATGGACGGGACAGCCACTGCGTACTTGGTGCTCGGTCTGACGATCGTGTCGCTGGGACAAGCTGCGGCTGCGGTAACGGTTCCGTTCAAAGGTCGGCGGCAACAGAGGTCGTCGCCGGATGTCGCAGAAGACATGGCCGCGGCCTTTGGTCCTTCGGCGGCCGACGGCGACGAGTGGCTGCACTTGCAGAACAACGAGATATCTGCGGCTCCAATTGTGGACTATGCACCGCCGTCGTCCGACATGGATTACTACGCCAACGCTTACAGTTGAGTGATCACTAAAAAAATTATTGCACCTCGCGCCGTATCCTGACCGCAAAGGCGCAAACCATATATATATTCGGTTAAAGCTTCTGAGGGAAGAATAACGAAACTCTGTGTCTATTGAGGGTAGGGGGAGGCAAAATTTTGGCTTGAGAGGCTTCGTTACTCTGTAAGCTTTGTTTGTAAAGGCCGTTCTGTCCAGTTTGGCTTGAAAATTAAGTAGGAACTGAAAACGTTACCTATCCAAAACCTTAGATTTTATTATGTTATAAGTACAACCAATATTGACTAAAATGATTAATATTATGTTATTCTATAATAGCTTAACTGATTTTGAACTTGTAAAAAACAGGTCACTAACAAACATTGTATAGTCAAGTTATAATATATTTTTAGAACGGTATAAAATATTATTCAAGGTTATCAGAATATCATACTATTATTAAAAATGTTATCGATATTTCTTAAAGTTCTAACAAATTTTCTACATTTTGGCTCAGTACTGTTTTCAATCCCTGAAATTAAACATACATATATAGCTTTAATAATATACAACAATTACAGGCTAAACTACACATAGTTGCCAAGTCAAACTTGTAAGAATGATTATTAGCCCTATAGTAATAAAAATAAATTTACTTTAATAGTTTTTTTCTCACAAAAGTCAAAGACTATAAAAATGGACAAATTTGCAATACGTTTATGACTGCTTATAGTTAGTACCAACTAATTTTTAACGTTAAAAACTGTAAAATTTAATTAGTCAATACTACCTATACCTTGTAAACATTTTTTTAAAATTTAATTTAACTTAAACTTTTAAAGGTTAAAATACTGAAATAATAAAGCTGAATGAAATTAAAAATAAGTAAACCTTATTTGTAAATAAAAATATTATTTAATTATTTATAAAAAAATATTTTAATACTATACTATGTTTTCCTACATAATTTTTATCTCAAATTCGACTTAGTTTTTAGAATAATATTACATTTTATTTTAGTAGGAAAATTAATTATTATAACACTAAATGATTTATGATTATGTTAGTTATAACTGAAAACCCATTTTCAAGTTAAAAGTTAAAATTGACTTTATTTATACTTTATAACTAATATTGATGCTTATCCTTGAAAAGTTTCTTTATAGTCTAAAACTATGACACCTTTGTTTTACCTTAAAATACCAATAACTAAAATTAGCTATTATCAACTAAAATAGCATATTTTTATTGAGATTGCATAATAAAATTACTACATAATTAATTATGCTGATATATTTTATAAGGGTTCTATCTTTAAAACATCAAACTTTCAAACGAGTACATATTTTAATATTAGATTTAGATATGACTACATAACTCAAACTAATCAGAGTTAGCTAATTATTAATTTTAAGAAGTGAAAACTATTTATATTACAGAAAATTCGCATAAAATGTTTAAAGGATAGATATAGTTCTTAGCTTAACCGATACACCTAGATGTCTAAAAAAAAAATCTATCAGAAAGAAACTGTTATTTAGAATTTTTTCTTACAATATTTTCAATCAACTGCTGTTTAACTTAATTCGTTTTTTTTTAAGTTAAAATTATGAAGCGTCTAATGAGGAAGTCAAGATAAGTTTTTTTTGTGTAGGCTCTAAAATCACGACATGCTTAAAAATTACACAAGTTTTTTACCTTATTTTTTTTTTTAGAACAATAAATTATACCTAGAAGTATGTTACTTTTACCTATTACAGTTAGAAACGGTTTGATTTTGTATTAAATAATATTATTTACAGTAATTTAATGCAATTATTATCTTAATGTACTTAACAATTTTTAATAAAACGATTTCCGCTATTCAATTTAATCGATTTAAGTATACATAGTAATTTCCGAACCGGTTTGGAATCCCGTTTATTTCTTGTTGGATCGTAAAACTGTTGTACTCGTGTACTTTGAGATTTGATTTAAATCGAAATTAATTGATAGGCAGTAATATTTTACGACTATGTTACAACTTGAACCTACATTTAGTTCCGTTTTTTTAAACGCGATTTTTTTATGATATAATAATATGTAAAACAAGTATTAAAAACAGTACAGGAATTGATTTATTTAAAACTTAAATAGAAAAGTACATTCAATATTTAACTTTGAGCTGATAAAATATAAAATATCCCTATTTTTTTTTTATCGTTTTATCTGTTAGTAGTAGTAGACCGGACATATACTTGGCCTTTAACCTACTAAAATGCAGCAATTTTTTTTTAAACGACCACTTCATCAAATCGCACGTTTTAAGATAAGTTTGCTGTAGGTCACATGTTTGGTCACACTTAACAACATAAATTTGTCGAGTTGAACGACATCATTTTTATTTATCACTAAATCATTTAATGCTAATAATATAGTAATGATGACTTAGAATACTGCTTCCCCTTTGTGACGACTCTACATTTGTTTTCTGATAACGTAGACATTTTTTTTTAAAATTAAAATAAAAATAATTGTAGAAAGAATAATAACATTGACCACAACAATGTTTCTTCTTTATAAAAAAAAATATAATATTAAAATAATTGTCTTCTTTTTTTTTTTTTTGTTAGCTTGCGAAAAAAACCTATTCATTTTTTTCAAATTATACTTCCAGTGCATTACGCAGCGTAAATAATTATTGTATAGATACGTACTTTGTTAAAGCCAAGTCTTGTATAGTTAATTACTATAAAGATTTAAATGGTCGTTTCTCCACGGTGTCTAGTCGCAGTACCTAGCGATGCTCGTGTGTTCAGTGAACCCGTTCTATAGCAAGGTTAAAAATGCAACCTACATACAAAATATACCTATATATATATATATATATATATATATATATATGATATTATGTGTCAGAACTCAGCATGAGAAAGAGAGAGAGAGAAGTAGAGAAAGGATCGATACATCATTGCCGTAATGATCTCTCGCGATGGTTGAGAATAACAATATATATATATATATATATAAACTCATAGGCCTAGATTATAAATTGATGGTTTGATTGACCTGATAGTCGAATTTCTAGTAAACAATGGCGATAGGAGGCTAAGAAGAAAACCGCAGGAAAATCGCCAAAAAACTCTTATTGTGGTAATGTACAGTGAGAGTTTTCAAGGACAAAATAACAAAAACATGTTCAACTATATTTTAACGGTGCTAAACGTTCCAAAAGGTTTTTTTTTTTTTTACAATTTGCTTACCATCACATCATTTCCTAATTAATTTTAGCAAATAATGTACTATAATATGAAGTGAGGAGAACCAAAAATGTACATGATTTGGAAAATACAGCATTTTGTCAATGAAACATTTTCCTACCATCATTTGGTATCGAATGTTTTTTTTTTTTAAAGAGATATCGAACAAAATGTATCAACATCGCAAGTAAAAAAAAGTAGAAATCATAATTTACATTTATAACTCATATGTTTAATATGTTGTTGACATTTGATGAAGTACTTAAAATCTGAGCTATAGGACATTCTATGGTAACTGGTGAGCCAAATTATCGATGAATAAAGGCTAAATAATTAGGACATTAAATTTTAAAAGTTTTGAAACTCCTGAAACTAATTTTACAGTGTAAAATGTACAAGCAAAGAACAATTGGCACCATCTCAAGTACGGGGAGTACTCGAGTTATGAGGGCGGCCACTGTGGGTTTATTTTTATTGTTTTTACTATAGGTATTTTATCAAGTGTGGTGTTTAATCGGTTTGCTTATGTTTTTTATAGTGGAAAAAATGGTTCGACGATGGGCACCACTGGTTTGGTTGGCACCAGACGAACAGTTCCTGCCGGGATCCGTGACCGATTTCCTGAGTCACGTGACACCCAGACCCCGATCGCCCATAGATCTGGCCAACTCAAAACTACCAATGGGTCCAAATTCGCAAACGTGGTTTTTGGTCACCAAGTCCGAAGTCGGTGAGTGGACTCTGAAACTAGTTTGCCCATGAAATATTATAACGTACCGTTATCGACTACAGTTTAATACATTTAATATTGTGACATCTTTGATTTCGCAAAACGTTCCGTTATACCGGCCGCAGATTAAATACGTTCACCGTTTTCTGCAAAGTGGTTCGTAAAACGTACATTACTAATATACTTACCAGCATAACTACACAACTTGAAAAAGTGCATAGTAATTAGCCAAAAAAAAATAACCATCCGCGACACGGAGTTTCGTTATTTATATAAATGCACCTATTCTATTGTCACCATATTACACTGTAAGTCGTGAATTAGTCTGCCAGAGACAGTCACAGATTAAAATATGTAGATTATGATTATTTAATAGGATTCATCAACGTCAAAATATGTATGTTTGTCAGTCGCTTTATAAAAAATTCCAAAAAAAAAACTGCGTCGGTTAAACAAATATACAACGTAATTTGGTAACTGTTGTGTGCTAAGACATTTTGTTTTTAAGATACTATAACAGAGCTTGGTAGGATGCGTATTTACACTTAAATGTGACAATTAACTATGGCAATTATTATAGTTAACGTCACACAAATATTTCCGTCGTTTGCTTTCAATTAAAACGTATACGATTTTAAACGTTTTGATTTCAATTTTTTTTAATTTATTCAAACACCGTAAGCTGAAAAATAGCAACTTTGCGATTTTACATCCGTGTCTATCTGTGGAATATTATTATTGTACGTTGCACTTTTCCTAAACAATTTTCGTTAGAATTCTTTGAGATTTTCAATAACGTTACATAAATTTGTTTCTGACAGCAACATAATAGTATGTCAATTCCCGGACACGCGTTGTATAGCTGTTATCCAAGTCGGTGACCGCATAGAAAGCTAATGAATCACAAAACGGAGTCGGTAGCTTTACCTGACTACTAAAGACCACCTCGTTTAGCTGTCAATAGGTTAGCAGCCGTTTTCTTTGCACGATAAACACATAACGTTGCAAAGCAAAACCAGACAAACGTCCGCTAATAACGTCATCCACTCGGGTCTTTATATATATATATATTTTTTTTATTATTATCAATGGCGGCGTGTGACGGTTAGTTTTGTGTGTCAGGTGAAATTAAATAATTCTCGCGACGGACGACATTGATCATAATTATTATATTCCGTTTCGCAGTTGGTTAAACTCGATTTCCAATGAAATAATTTGATTTTTTTTTTAATGTAAACAACACGTTTTTAATAAATGTCTTGTACTTACAATCGTTTTAAAACCCTTATTTGGCTACCTTGTCCCGTGTGCCTCGCCAGGCTTCGTATTTGAGCCCAATTGTTATCATATGGATTATAATATAATATCGATTTGGTGTTTACAGAACATTTGTTGGAGAACACCACATCGGTACTGTACGGACAGAATCCGAACTCGGCGAGGGTACCCGTCTACGCACGAATCACAGAATGCGGCCATAAGAAATTCCACGTTTCCTATTGGCTTTTCTTTCCGTTCAGTCAAGGCAAGCCAATTTGCACTCTGGACATTGGCGTGCTAGGTCCACTGCCCCTGCCGCTCATCAACAACCAGTGTTTCGGCACGCTAAAAGAATTTGGCAGCCACGTCGGTGACTGGGAGCACATGAGTCTCATGTTCAACGTATGCGCTTGTGCACTTATATTATAATAATATATATTTTTTTTTTCTCAACAATAGCTGTGTTTGATTTGTTTGCAGGGCAGCGACGAACCGCAAGAGATGTATGTGTCGGTGCACGACGCCGGTGCATTTTACCGGTACGATGGCAACCGACGGAAGTTCGTGTTCGACCGGCAAGAAGTGCGCAAAGGCTTCATGCAAAAGCCAAAATTTCCGGAAGTAGTCCATTTGACCAAGAAAGGATATCATCCGGTGCTGTTCGCGGCCAAAGGCTCGCACGGTCTTTGGACGGCTCCGGGTTAGTGCACGTTATAGTATTAATACAAATTTCAAATATATCTCTAAAATGTTAAAAAATATATATATATATATATATTTAATAACTATTGTAATGTAAATGTGTTTTCGACATTCCAACGGATCTATTGGTGAAAACATGTTTGATAAACTGTAAAATTTGACCCCGTTTACGTAGAGTTCTAATTTTATGAAGTATAGATAGATACATGCCGGTTTTTTGTGCAAAAACAAGGGTTAGCATACGGTAAATATCTCTGTACGTATAAATCATATAAACATACTACATTGACATTGATAGAAACACCGAGACTTATATTATTATGGCCACTCGGAATGTTTTTAATTTAAATTTGGTGACGATTTTATTTTATTTACACCGAATTAAAAAAAAAAATTGTTTTAAAATTAAAATAATCATTTGAATTTTAAAACTTTTTATAAAAATCGACAGGGACACTTTAAGTTGCTGTCTTTTTAATAAGCTTAGAAAATATTTTCTATTTGAATTTTTGGGAACGCTATAGGCAAGCGAGAGGCTGTTTTTTGGAGTATCATCAAACCCTGTTAAAATAAGAACAATCGCTGAGAAAAAAATAATGTTAGCGTTAAATTTCCAACTAATTTTTTTGATGTTTTACGTTATCCTTGTTTTACCGGTTAGGAACTTTGACATCAACGCGTTTTGGGACGCTTCAATGGCTTATTAAAAATAACAGTACAGAGTTGACCGCGAGTCTAAACGAATTTTGATTGTTTCCAGGAAAACACAAGTACGTCCGGCTACCGCGGCTGTACGACGATAGCGGTTACGGTTCGCCGTGGAAGACTTGGTTGAAGGTGGAAATGCTGAAGACGTCCAAGAAACTTCCGTTGTGGATGCAGTTTTACGGCAAATGGGGAAATCCGCACAGCAAATGTCACCCGTTGGCCCGGATGGGACTCCAGATTTGTCAGTTCACCGACGGTCCTACCGGTATACCTATGAAGCCGCATGATTTCCAATGCTAAAAAAAAACACAGCCGACACATTTCGTCGGACATCCTCTTGTCGAAGAGAAATTCGCCTGACGGGTGCGATGAATATCAACACCATGACCCGACTTTCGATTGTGGGACGTGTTCTAGGTCATATCGCATGATGGTCACCGTCTGATATTTTTTTCGTTGTTTTTATTGTTATTATTATTATTATTATTATTATTATTATTATCATAGAACTTAGTACCTTAGTACATGGTATACACCACGCTGTACGTCCGATCGACATTAAGTGCTCCGTATAATCGTTAAAATAATATTGGATTATGTGCTCTAGGAACGTGCACTGAGAGAAAGTAGGACTTCCCATTTCTTGGAGTCCGCGTGCATTATCTCCCCGTTCACACACTTGTGTATGTTATATTATTCTGTATACTATTGTTGTAGCGCGTAAGTGATATAATCTGTGTCTGTGTTATGTAAATTAAAAAAAAAAAAAAAAACAACATCAAAACGATATCGTGACTTTTATGTGTAATCTCCTAATATTCGCAGTTATGCATGTTGCGACCACTTCCTGTCTCCCAGAGGATATCAATCTACGAACAATACAATAGCGCAACACAAAGGTAATTCAGATACCGTATGGGCTTTTGAAGTTCAATTTGCAACCGGGGGTTAACGCAGCAAATGGCTCAGAAAATAATTGAATCAAATTGAATATAATGGACTTCTAAATTAAACACATAATGTACGTCCAGTATTAAGTCAATTAATATACAGTACACTCGATGTTAAAAATATGTCTTTGTAGAGAATGGAGAGTCAGATTAATGCTGATTAAACACAGAGCAATAGTTAACTAGTAATTTAGTAATTTGACACCAACATCGAGAACGACGGTAATTTGATGTTAACACACTTAAGCGTCGCTGCTTCTGTCGTCACTCGTCGCCATTATAAAGTAATAAAACATAATAAACTGCTATCATTATGTATTAACTATTATCTCATTACAATAGACATACCTATATTTCAAAATATCTATCAATAAGTTATATACAGGATAAAGTCGAACACGTGAAGTACTGAGAGTTGGGTGTTTTGGTGAACTTAGTGGGTAAAGCAGCAGTGGGTAAAGATCTTTATCCAAAGATCCAGTAGATTTGTGTCCCTCAGTATCAGTCCCCTGGCCTAACTCTAAATGTCAGCAAATGCAAGTAGGTACATGTAGTTTAGGGTACCATTTCCTTTTTATACTATATTTACTATGGTGTTCTTAATCCTGCTGGTGATTTTGTTTATGACCTCGGGTATCGCTTAGTTCCTACCTTGAGTCCCTATATTCATATTGAAAGAGCTTGCTGTAAAACTTCTAAAGTACTTGTACGTTTTATCAAGATAATTTCCACAGAAATTAATCGTGTTTTATCCTTCAAATCTCTCTATTGCGCACTATTGTAAAACACGGCTCAGTGGTTTGGGGCTTGTTTTTTTTTCAATAAGCCCAACCAGTATTCTCTTTTTACATTTTTTTGGGAATGCGGCACTGCTAACAATTGTTTGAAAACAAACGTTATTCAAAAAATAGAGCATTATAATATTATGTTTAAAGTTGTTTTAATTATTTCAAACTTATATTCTTTCTACTTCGCAAGTATTTACACTATCTTTGTAACCTTTAACGAAAAGTTTTGTCCACGTGTCATAAAAATTTTAATTGAACATGTACCAGTGACCGCTGTAACGTGGAGTACCTAATACACATTATACATTGATGCTGATCATCATAGATGACGTACGGCTGGCTTGTTAATTGCAGTCAAGTACACACGAGTACGCATTGCCCCCACGCAGACAATGCCGAATAAACAAAAAAGTAATTCATAATTGACGAACGGGGGACAGTGTAGGAGTATTGTCAGTTGCACCATACGCATTCTGTAGACAGCAGGGTCTTTTAGCATCATGGCCGGATCGAGAGAAATCAACTTAGATTTTCTACAATTGATTGTAGATCAAACCGACCCCGGAGTGAAAATCACCAAGTATGAAGTGAGTTGAGTTGACGACATTGCAAATTAAAATATGTAAATGCTGGTTTGCACGAACGCCCGTTAAAGCTTTAACGCGAACCGTCAGGGATTTAGTACCTAGTTCCTGTAATTGGTCCACTAAATTTTAACACCAACCGTTCAATGTCTTAGACATCCCCGTGTCGTAAAACGGCACTGAAGTATTAAGCCAAGCGCGTATTGCATGTGTTTTACAGACGAGTTTCGGATCGAAGAGAGGCGATAATTATACGTCGATGGTGTACAGGGTGTTGCTGTACGGCGATGCCGGATGGACTAAGTCTATGATCTACAAGGTGCTGCCGAAAAACGTGCAGGCCAGAGAGAATTTCAAGTCGGAAATGTTGTTCGATAACGAAGTCCGGTTTTATAAGAAAGCTCATACTGCGCTGATGGAGTATCAGGCGAGTGTAGCTGTTATGCCTATTCTAAAAATAAAGAAAAGCCGGATTGTTGTCGATTAGTCTTGTTTATGTATGTTATAACGTTGTTTACTTACTCGTTTTAGGATTCCAAAAACATTAGAGATCCGTTTGTCGGTGTGCCGAAGTGCTATTTTGCCGAAAGCGACATCATCGTGTTGGAAGATATGCGGTGCAAAGGTTTCGTCATGATGGACCGATTGAAAGGTCTGGACCTGGACCATTGCCGGGCCGTTCTAAAGTAAACGTTTGAAATTCGTTTTTCCCCGTAAATCGCGTATACTATTTAAGTGGTATATTATTATAATTAAATTTTGCACGTTAGAGTACTGGGAAAATTCCACGGGCTGTCGTTGTCGATGAAGGCCAACGAACCGGAAAAATTTCAAGCTTGCGTTTCGGGCGTGATCAATGAAGTCTATTACAAAAAGGACAACGAGCTGTGGTACGGAGGGTACTACAAGCACGCCGTGGAGAGTGCCAAGAAAATTGTATAAGCAAATATAATCATTAGACTGTTTTGTTACTTTGTTTTTATATTTTCATCGTATTGAAACAACATTAGCTAGAAGCCGAGCTGACCGAAGAAGACAAACCGAAATACTTGGATGTGTTTAAACAGTTTGTAAGCCACGATTCTTTTTTCGGATACATGACAGATCTGGTATTGCCCAAAAGTCCGTTGGATGTGCTCTGCCACGGCGACTGTTGGACGAATAACTTTTTGGTTCGTTATACCGCCGATGGCGATATATCCGAAGTAAGTGGACGAAATATTTTATAGTCCTGTGTCCAGACACGGGTAATTTTTTTAATAATAATATAATGAATACTAGACCAAATTGGACGAATAATGTTTTTGTACACGATTGGTAGTGTGTATAATATTTTGTATTTGTCCGAAAACTATACTCATAACTTTGCAGATGAAAAATAATTTAGAAATGTATTGTTTAAAGCTGTGAAAATATTACGTTGGATTCAAATTAAATTTAATAAATTGCACAAATAAAACAAATTAAACTATTGCTATTTATTATCTATACATACATAAAAGCAAATAAAACATATTGATACAAATGATAAATACAAAACATAACATGTTTTGTATTTATCATATTATTTAGATGAAAAATTATTAAAATATAATACTCAACTCTGAGTATACTTATCGCAATAATTGCTAAGCTTACAACTTGTAATGTTTTCACCGAAAGGTATCCATAGTGGACTTCCAAATAGCCAGATACGGTTCGCCGGCATTAGATTTGACCAGTCTGTTGTATTGCTGTACGACTGTGGACTTGAGGAGTAAACATTTACCCGAGTTACTACAATCGTACTATGATTCGGTGATAAGTATACTAGAACAAACTGATTGCATGGATCGTTACCCTGATATATGTCAAAAGTATGTTACTTGGTTTCTAATATTTATTGTACATTTTTTTTTTTAAGACTGTATAAGCATTTACGTGCTTCACCCTTAACAACATGGCCTATAATAGTATAATGTTAATAATTCCGTTTTTAATTTTTTTTTAATGAAAATTGTTTTAATGTCTATCGCATTTGTAGGCTTAACCGTGAATTCCTGGAGTACGGTGGTTTCGGCCTTGGCGTAGCGATGGACTTGATACCTATAATCACATGCGAATCGGACCAGGCCCCCGACATGTACAAGGAAGACACGACCAGTGCAAGACCCAACGTGGAAGCTAGTTATGTTAATACCTCGAATGACGTTTACCGACGGATGATTGTTGAATTGGTCAAAGAATTAGTAGACAACGGTTGTTTAAAATAAAACCGTTTAACTTATGTACGATTATTTAAACTTTTATAATTTATTTATTTAAATACAAATACCTACCACTTTTAGTAGGTATTTATATATATATATATATATATATATATTACTATAACTTTTATGTCGTCCATATTAGCACAGCTATGCCTAAGTCTTTTTACAGATAGAATATAATTAAACGTCTAATCATAAGTACATGTTTACGTACATTGTTATTGGTAAATTATATAGACCATCTAATTTTTACTGTAGGTAGTGGTCGTAGCATATATTAAAATATCGTTGGCGCTTGAAAAAAATAATTTACTACGCACACTTTGAGCTTTTTTCATACAGCGTTTCAATATTATTTATAATAAGGCAATTTGAAACGAGATTGAAACAAAAATTTAGAAATTAAAATTAATAAAAAACGAAACTATTAGTTATTACGCATAAATATTATTATACCTGTTTATTTTCAAACATTAACTACTTAACAGATAAAATAAGATGTGTTAAAGAATTACTAGATTTTTGACCTAACATTATGGATACGGTGCATCCTCCTAAATAATATTGTTTTTAATATTTATAATTGTAAGATACATAAAGATGTAAAGAAGGTATATTTTTCTTAGTATTTTTTATTAAATATATTTTATAATAAATAGAATAATTCTGTTTAATATTGTAAATTTTGTCCTACATAATTATTTCATGTCTTCTATTATTTTCTGATCGTTTATTCGTTAAATACAATGACTAACGAGCATATCGTGTGACATTGAAAAATATGTATATAAATATTATAACATGTAGGTAGTTGTTTTCTACTCGGTTCACTTTTAATCACAAGAAAGCAATAATATAATAATACAAAATATAGATTGTTGAACTGCAAGAAAAATGAAATTACAATATAGGTATGACAGAGGTAAATTATTATATAAATACTTATGAATAATACTTAATACTTTAATGTATTCTTTGTGATTACAATCTCCAGATAAATGTTTTTATTTTTGAGTATGACTTTTCACACTTTGGATCAACCTCTTAAATATTTCACCCGTACATTTGGCTGAGTAGGCAATCAAACGCACATTTCTCCTTGGTGTGCTTTCCATGCAACCGATAAGCTCTAGCCGGTGCGGGTTGGTTTCCATACTTATCGTTGGAGTGTATAAGACCCGCTGGCTTATTGCTTAATAATAGAATACATTACTTATAAAAGTCAAAATCTTAAGTATGAGAACTATTTTCGTATGTGCAATATATTAACATTTTTTTCTCATGGTAAGAGATAGCTCAATAACTACTAAAGTACCTGTTCTTAATAGAAAAACGTATTCCGAGCTAAGTATCGCACTTAATGCATTACTAATTAAAAATATCATAGACAATCTACCAATTAAAATCCGCACTTTGATCTAAAAAGAGAAACTAATACAGCCAATCAGTTCCACACAGACTGTCGCCGTTTTGCTTTTAAAGGCCCAGTTAAAAGTACACTCTTAGTAGTAATATATTATACTGTTATCAGTAATCAAGTATAAACCTAACATATGGCATGATTACATTATTCATTTAATCCCAATCATGCTTATATTGTTACTATATTATATTATACTCATACTGATATCGTTTTAAAATATTTATCTATTCATAAATAAATCAGTTTTATCTTAAATACTAAAAAGTTCATTGTAAACACAATCATATAAAACCCAATTATCTGTACATTCCAAAAGAATAACAATAGTTTGTTACACACTTCACAAAGATAAAAGCGTTTTTTTATTAAGCTATTAGGTAGCTATTAGGTAAATAACTCACTTCAATGTCCTACGATAAATAAGTCTCATGTATTCGTTGAAATAAAAGTTGTGTAATGAACCATTATACAGTAGTAATAGTTGATCAATTGTATTCTAGTGGAATCATTGAATGAGTATAATTTTTGTACGTGCAATTGTCTGTGGTCAAAAAACATTATGGCAGAATCGAGAAACATAAATTTAGAATTTTTACAAACTGTTATAAATCAAACGGACCCGGGAATAGTAGTTAGAAATTTCAAAGTGAGTTGAATATAAAATATAATAAATACATCATATTAATTGTATTTTCGAAAAATACTTATGGTAATTGACGTATTATATTATATTATTAAAATATTTGAGATATCCTAATAATTTAGCAGACTGAAAGTCTCAGTTAACGTGAAAATATTAGTTAGTAAAAAACCTTTGTTATTTTAGACGACGTTGGGATCACAGAGAGGCGATAATTATGCGTCTATGGTCTATAGAGTTAAAGTATATGGCGATGATGAATGGACTAAATCAATGGTGATCAAATTGTTACCGGAAAACGAACAAGTACGAGAAAATTTTAAATCAAATATTCTGTTCGAAAACGAAAAGAAGTTTTACAAAATCGCTCTCAACGCGCTTATGCAATACCAAGTAAGACTGTTTTACTAACTAAACTGTTCGCTATTATAAGGTGTGGCCGTTAATGCGACTGTCTATGATTGTTTTAGGGGTCTAAAAACCTAAGAGAACCGTTTGATAACACGCCCAAGTGCTTTTTCGCTGAAAATGATGTTATCGTTTTAGAAGATATGCGTTGCGATGGATACCAAACGATGGATAGAATGACACCACTAGATTTGAACCAATGTCGAGAATATCTCAGGTATCTAATCCATATGTTTTTGTTCTAAAAAACAATTTTAAATGTTTACTCGAAAGATAATAGTTAAAATCAGAAAAAACAATTTAGGTTTTGTTAGAATCGATCACTTCGGGAGTAAGAAATTTAGTGCTCTGATCTGTGTTGAATACATTTGCAAACTTCTTTTGTATCAACAGCTTAGAAGCCAGTTTGTTAGCTTCCGAATAAGACACTTTATGTGTGATTGTAGACAGAGCTGTGCGTATTCGTAATCATGATTATGAATACGAGTGTATTCACAAGCCATGATTATGATTATGAATACAGTTGTGATTATGACTATGAATATGAATACGACGAAAATCATAGGCGTGATTATGATTTTTCCCGTATTCATATTCATGGCTATGCTGTTCGCCATACTCACGTTGATTTTGATTAAAAAAATACAGATATGAATATGATTGTGAATAAGGCGAAAATCATAATCATGATTTTGAATACAACGAAAATCATAGCCATGAATATGAATACAGGGAAAATCATAATCACGCCTATGATTTTTGCCGTATTCATATTCATAATTATCAGGCAAGGGCTTGTGAATACACTCATATTCATAATCACACATTCCCATCATGTGGTTATACTCAAAATCATAATCATGATTACGAATACGCCCAGCTCTGATTGCAGAAATGTCATTTTTTATAAAAAAATTTTTTAAAAAAATAGCCGATTACTATAACCGTTTTTTAAAACAAAATTATTTCTGACATTAATATGTAAATATTGTATTCAAATCTTGTAAAGAATCTTTTCTTTTCTTTTCTTTTTCTAATAAGACACCTTTGTATTGTATTACCAATTGATTTAAATAATTATTATAATACAAAAATTACCTATAATGTGCCGAAATATTGTTTAGGGTATTAGGGAAGTTCCACGGGTTATCGTTGTCGATGAAGGTGAACGAACCAGAGAAGTTTGAAACTTACGTTAAGCGAGCTATCAGTGAAGTTTTTTTTACAAAAGATAATGTACCTTGGTATAGTGGAATGTATAGTCAATCCGCAGAAAACGCCAAGAACACTGTACGTCCAAGAAAACTGTACTCGCGAACCATTGAGAATAATTTATATAATACTTTATAGCTCGAGTCCGTCCTGAATGAAAACGAAAAAGCAAAATATTTGAATGTATTTCAAAAATATGTAAGCCACGGTTCGCTTTTTGAATACCATTCAAAATTAGTAGCAAAGCAAAATGCATTATCTGTGCTCTGTCACGGAGATAGCTGGAAAAATAACTTTCTCTGTCGATATTCGGACGACGGTGGCGTATGTGATGTAAGTCAAACCTTTTCTATGGTGCCTAATAATTCTTGAGGTCGAACGAAAAATGTGTACAAATTGTAATGAGAAAATATAGTTCAAGTATGATCTGTATTACAGATATTAGTACACGGACAATTTGCCTAAACCTCGTTTGGAAAAATTAAATGTAATTACACGAATGGTGTAATTTCAATTATCGTTTAATTTTAATAGAGAAAAAAAACAATTTTTACAAATGCGATACAATACACGGTTAATTTTTAATTATTAATTGCTTTTTTTTTTTTGGCCTTTAAAAGGTAAAAATGATCGACTTCCAAATGGTAAGATATGGATCTCCGGCGTTAGATCTTGCGCTCTTACTATATAGTTGTACTAGCGCAGATTTACGGAAAAAACATCTACCCAAACTGTTACAAGTGTATTGTAAAACCGTGGCTGATGTTTTGGAGCAAACAAATTGTTTGGATCATTACCCTGATATCGATCAGAAGTAATTTTGTAACTATGCAAATAAAATGATAGCTGAATAATGAATTTTTTTAAATATGTTTTTTGTTATCAGGTTAAATAACGAATTCCGTGAGTTCACTGAATTCGGTTTAAGAGAAGCTATACTGTGGATACCGTTTATATTGAGTGACGCCGAGGACACTCCAGACATATACAACGAAAGCCCTTTAGAAGAACAACCCATTGCTGGACCAACGTTTCCAACTACAACGTGTGGTAAAACTAAACAGATTATCGTGGACTTGGTTACACAATTAGTAGACGATGGATATCTGAAATAATATATAGTATTCACTGTGTGAAACGTGCATGCAATTTGTTCAATATACACTATTATAATCAAAATTTTATAAATATTTGTTGATTTTCAAAACGGGCCTTTTTAGTTTGTTAATTATTATGCTAAACGTTCAACCCAACAGTACTGTGGTCTGTGAACATCATTATTATGATTAAAATATGTCGTATACCTAATAAAATATGTTCAACTAAAACAGAGTATCGTATTGTGTTCTATTGGTTTATTAACCAATCTAACGAAAACCTGCAGCAGGCAAACAGTGCCTGTTATTAAGGAAATCAGTGACCTAGTCAACAGCTACGTAGACCGATTGCCCTACTGCTATGGTTGTTTATTTTCAGCTATTTAAACAAATGAAATGATCATATTTTGTATACTTTTTCCTAACATCAGAACCCGGATTAACAATATACAATATAATAATATTGTATGCATCAAAAAATGTATAGACTGATAAAAACAGTTTGGAAAAACAGGTGTCTCGTAAAGTTGATTTGTTCACATCACATATACATGTGAGTTTATCCTAATAAATAATACACTTTGTGAGCTCCCTTTGAGTCGTAGTGGTATTATGATGAAACCACATTATTAATTTTTTTTTTTTTTGCGATTGTTAGCCGTGGTATTTTGTTAAAACCACCGTCGAAATAATAATAATAATTGAGCTTCGAACACTGATCAATCTGAGTAATGATTAAATGCAAAATATGTATTTAACTGTGTTATCAAATGTATAATTAGTTGTATAATTAAATTACAAAGCTCAAGTGATTTTGGAAAACAAACATTTCAAGCGAAACGCTATTTTCCACATTCCTTTAGATTCTGTGCGATAGGGGTTTGCTGATCTATTTGCATATTGGATCCATTAATAATTAACGCATTTCACGGTTCGTCTTTAATACATACAGACAAAAGCGAATAATTAACAAGATAAAATATACGGGATACATTATTCGTAACTCATTTTACTATAAAGGACTTGGACGACTACAAAAATCAAGTACACTATAAATCAACACATTAAATACCAGTATGATACAAGTGACAATTCTAGTAAAGAGAGTTCGGCCAAAAATCTTTTCATCTTAAAAGTGTCAAACTTTAAAAGTTTCTCAAAAGTATTAGATAAATATAATGTTGATTTGATAATATACTTAAATATATATTATAAAAAACAAATAACGTATACATATTTTTTACAACTCATAGAATATGCTTGAATTCGGACAGGATTAGGACAGGTTCATTGGAGTAGTGTTTACAAACAAAGCGGTAGACGTCCGACATTGGATGTAACAGAGCCGACCGTCGGTGATAAGCCGACGTCGGACGATTCTTTGTATCACCGGGTGATCGGTGAGCAGACGTATCTCGAGTGCGACCAATGCGAGCACCACATTCGGCCGTACCGTCAATGACACGTGACCGTCGGGCACGGCTGTCATGTAGGTTCTACGAGTAACTAAACGTCGAGTTCGTCAAACACGTCAAGAATAGGAGTGATCGTTTGGCGTCGCCATTTGTCCGAACAACGTCGACGGCAAACGATAGTGGCCGCTATCGTTGCGCCGATGACACCGACGACGGCCAACGCAAAGATGCCCAAAAAATACATTGTGTAGGTACAAGAAACATTACATATAAGAAATTAGTGAAAACTTAACACACGAATAACTCAAAACGATTTGCTGTTGTTGTTGATAACGGTTTGTTTTAACTAGCTATTGGTTTCTAACCAGTGATTTTATACTAAATAAAGCCAGGCATGTACCCATTATATTATTTATAATATGTGATATGTAATAATAAATATCAAGAAAGTTATTGTTTAAATATTTAATACCTTGGTCTTGTTTTATACTCAATTGAAATGTAGCAAACAAAATGTTGAGTGATTCATAGTGCTATTAATTTTGACACGAGAATATTGTCTTAAGTTTGGTTTAAAAAGAAATCGTTTTGAAAATTACATAAACACCAGCTAATAGAATATAAAAACTCCCATATAAGTTATGAACCGAATAGAATTGATAAAATATACAAAACTAATGAGTTAGCAGGTAAGTAAACGACTCATAACACCTTAAATATTTCAATAGTACGTGTCAACTTATGTGTATCTATAGTAAAATTAAAAATAATATGTAAAAACCTGTTAGGTATATTCTATTTAGTAATTATTTAGTTGATTTTTAAGCTCTTCATGCACCAAATCTTGTTTATTACAAAATGAAAAAAAGTAGAATATTAGAACTCGTATATTATATTTCATTTTATTAACAATTTTAGGGTTTAAGTGAATTATTTATAAAAAAAAAAGGCTCGTATATTATTGAACATTTTTGTTTAACATATTAATTATGAAGTGGAAGTGAACTTAACTTATGAACTAAAGTTCTATTGAACAATACTATATTATTATATAACAATTTTATTACAATATGTTATTTGCGAATTACATTTTTATTGTATAACGATACATGTTGAGGGTCAGTGAGTTCGTTAAGCAATGGACCATTATAAAATGTAACAAGTTTTTCTTTCATTTCGTTATTCCAAAAATCATCGTCCCTTTTGATTTTCTCATAGAACACTCCTGAAAATATTTAAAATAGTATTACAGTCAGAACGAATTACATAAGACTTTACTTGTATGACAAATTTATCTAAATAACATACCCATAGGATTCCAAACTACAAAATAACAGTAATCCTTTTGTGCAATATGTAACTGTCCTTGCACTTGAATATAGAAATCCGAATGTGTTTTTAATACAACATCCCCCGTTTCGTTGTATTCTAAATACTGTAATTTTTTGACAGCACTTTTCGGATGCACATTTTGTACATTGTGAGGGCACTTAACCATAACTAAGCCGTTGTTTCCAATCAAACCGTCTGGTTTCGCTGCCAAAAAATTAATTTGTTTATCCACAAACCCTCTGCAAGACACAACTGTCAGATGCGTCTCATTTTGAAAGGCTTCTATGGCCTTCTGTTTGTACGTCGCATCATACCTGAATAATCGATTATTAACATATTATAAATAATTTATAAGCAGTATCCGTAAAATTAATACTAGTGTGCATAGGTAGGCGTTGTGGCAGGTGACCTATTATTCATTAAACAAATGGGAGACACTGAGGTCGGTGTCCACTGCCCAGTTGGCATCCGATAGAAATATTATAATAATAAAAAAAAAAAACCAAGTACTTCGATGCAACGCTTTCTGTAGGTTCAGACACAACTTCTTCCACAACCGTGTCAACAGACAAATAAGGTTCCCTGATCCTGCAAACACGACCAAATTTCTCAGCTGTAAGTTTGAATGACCATTCATGTTTGCATTCGTCAAACTTGGTCGAATCACTTGTTTGCTCGTCTAAAGAACTGATTTCCAATTGACTCAACCTGAGGCGGTCACGAATGTATTTCTCCCTTTCGCTCGTTTCTTCTTCGGGTAGTAGAAAGAAATTTCGAGTGACTGCACCTAAAGATGTATTTATTAATTTGATATATTATTATTATAATTTTTCACCTAAAAAACATCAATGGCGGGTTGCATAAAAGTTCATTAAATGTTTAATGAACTTATAGATGTGTCTAGCGGTTCCTCAGAAATAAGTGAATGGCCCTCGATTGGTCCATTAAAAGTATTAATTCTTTTTGAGCGACCCCGATTGACATTTTTCAAAGCAATAAAAAAGTAAAAACACAATGGATTAATTACCTTCCACCGCCCTTACGCAAGGAATGTCCATTTTACAGTTTAACCAATTGTAATATGTTAACATATCATATGATTTTGTGATAACGTTGTAAATACTTTCTGACTGAGGTAAGTAATGTTTGTCTTGACATCGATTTCCGAAGTTCATGATGGTGTTCACTAATTGTCGGTCTTTCTCTTCATTAGGTTTGATGTTCGCTAATAAGTCTTCTAGACTTTTAACGTTTGGCATTTCCATTTCCTTTAACCTCGAGTAAATAGCCGTCTGCCACGGCTGAACGTCGAAATTTCCATAAGAAAACACTGCTTGCACCCTTCGTACATATTTGTAAAAGTCCCATAATGTAATTCTGATCTTATCTCGTTGGTTTTTTTTCCTCTCTTGGTGTTCGGTTATTATTATATTAAACAAACGGCAAGTCAACAAGCTGTGGAAACATTCCAACGACTCGAACATCTTTTCGATATTTTGTAGTAGTAATGTTTTTTTCGAGTTATTAACAGGATTATCTATATAAGGTGTCGATAGTAGCAATATGTCATGTTCGTCGAGTGTAGTGACTATTACTTCATCTGATTTTTCTTCAAACACCCATTTCTTAATGTCGTCCATAACGCTGCTCAAAGATTGCAAGAAATCAGCATCGAATGTCCTTTCAATTGCATTTTCAGTCTGATAAAAAACAAAGAAAATCATTATTTACTTTTAATGCGTGTATATTAGATAATTGTTTTTTTTTTTAATTGTTTTGTGTCTTTCCTACGACGTACCCTTTCAGTTGACAGCTGGAATCTATTTAAATAAGAATTCCTTAAAATTTCAGATCCCTATATTAACTTAAAGTTCTTTCTCATAATTTTTTAAGTACTCGAAATTGTGTCAAAAAAACAGACCGCATGCAATCCGCTTAAGTTAAACCATAGAAGTGAGTAGGTGTATTATTGGTGGTATTCTCAACGTCATAAGGAACCGGTTGTTTTTCCCGGCCTCGTCAAAACACAATATTGAATATACCTTTTAAATTTTACACGTATTGAACTCCTCGACTTGTACTAGCGTTCCCCATGGCATCTACCGTGTACAATATGTGCCTCGGTTAAATATTCTCTTGTGGAAAGATGTTTTTTTAAAAAAAATTTTAGATATTGAGTAACTAAGTATTAACAGCTGCGCTTAACTAAAATGTGCCATAAACGCTAAAAAGAACACATATTTTTCACACACTGACATTTTTTTAGACTTATTATTTAAACTTAGCGTTGTCCAAATTAGATTTTAGATAAATTCATACATAAATTAGCTGAAAAAATCATACATTATAATATTATGCTCTCTCGTGCTTCTTTCTGGGTTTAAATATGTAAAAAAAATAAAAGTAAAATGAACATACTAGCCAGACATGATCGGTCCATCCGACTAGTCTAAAACGTTAACCTAAGTCTTAAATAATTAACTAAAAATGTACCTAACAGTATTTTAAAATTGAATTGGATGATTATTATTGTACATCTACGAATACTTTACCTTTGACTCTGGAATTAAATTTGCAGTTATAATTAAACAATAAAGTATTAACGCGAACATGTTCTTCGTTAACTGCATTGCACAAGTCGGTTGTATTATAACCAAAATACGATTAAAATTTCCAATGAAACAAAAGAAAGTTCCTTATGGTTTTTTTAGGCACATCAAATTTTCTTTCCAACCATTCCACGTATAGAAAAACACTGTCGTGCAACAAATAAAGTACACGTAAACATAAATATGTGTGACTGCGTTGGCGGCTTACATTTTTGAATATTTACCTAAGTTCCGTTTGTTAACAATTCTATAAATACAGTGATTTTTTTTTTCTTTCAAAATGATAACACTAAATAACTCGTGGCCCTTTAGGGTTTAATTGGTAATTGAATTTTTCTTCTCAGTGATCTCAATTTTTGACAAAATTATTGTACGTTTTCAACCCTCTTTCGAAATAATTATTTTTTTACATAAACTTTTGAAACTTAAGTGGATCACTTTAGAAAAAATTACCAATTGCATATCATCGATTTATCTTATACAGTGTGAATCATTTCACTTAAGTATAAACCAAGGTGTTAAATATTCAAACAATCAAAAACATTCTTTATGCATGTGATTCATTTAAGAGTTAAGACACCCTAAAGCCAATGCTGGGATAACTTTTGTACACCCGAGTTCCATTAAGAATATTTGAACGATATGAAACTGTCAACAGATAACAAGATAATAAACGACGCTTGTTTCAATAATTCAGCTGTAGTCTAAACTACACCGGCTTTAATATTGCTCTAAATGCTTGTCTTTATTGTCCACTTAACCCGTTAAAAATTGATCTATCAATGTCAAGACTACTCTGACCAAGTGACCACGAATCGTTTTAGTAACAGTAGTTTGTACGTTTTGACTTTTGTTCACAGACCAGATCTATGCTATTGTTACTGTAAGACTTAATAACACTTAGTGTTGTACCCAAAAATTGCCGTGCTAATGAAATACTTGGTTAAACGGTGTTGAATTGTTAAGATCTGTACTTCTTCTCAATTCTAAAACTAAACGCACATTTGCTAATTCAGTATTTAACGGGCTTAAAACAAATATTTTAATTTGAAATTTCTTATAGAAATATGTCAATACTGAGTTTAAAAAATAATTTTGTAGTTTAAACGAGAAAAATAATGTGTACAAGCTAAACTTGTATTTTCAAAATCATTGATTAAAAACAAATAGATTGTTAAAAAATATGATTTCATAAATGTAGAATATGATTTTTTTTTTAAATACATTAAGTCTTAAGTAATAGATTTGTCCATGTATGTTCAATATTTTTTTTTTTTAATTAAAACACAGTATGTAAAATTTAATGTGAACAACATAGCATTTTAGAACGTTATATCTAATACATTTGTAATATTTTTAACTATATGTAATATTCATTAATCAATGAAAAAAGCGGTACCATTATTTATTTGTTACAATAAAGAAATCAAGAAACTGATTCAAAATCGTTAGCATTTACTTTAATCTAAATTATTATTACTCTACAGATTAATATTATACTGCTTTACAATATAAAACCTATGTAATATTCAAATTTAACTACAGAATAATTGAACTTAATTTGTTATATTTATTAAGTAATTATTAATTCTTAGTAGTTTGTTAATAAATTTACATTGAAAATATACAATGGGTACATTGGTTGTGATTTTTTCTTTAATACAATTTTTTTCATTTTGCTTACCTAACAATAATAATTAGGTTATTTTTGTTATCCTAATAAATAGTACCCTAAATTTCTCCTTTTAATCTATTATACATATTTATTTAATTAACAACAATTAACTTATTTACATTTACTTCTTTATTAAACCAAATAAAATATTGTTCACGTAAACATAACACTATTACGCTTGAACCATTACTTTTTATCCATACATAATACTCATTATTGACTTGATAAGAAGATAAGAAAAATATATTGTTATGATGTATAGTTATTTTATTTTAATTTTATTCTAAATAAAAAATTAGAATATCAAATATATTAAGTTATATTCTAAAATATTGACCATTAGACAATACAAATTATACATAATTATAATAGTTAAAATATTTAAAATAAAAACACGAATAACAAATGTGTATTATACAAGTTAAATACTTTATAAAATTATTTATTTAAATGATATTTTATAATAGGATTCGATCAATCATAAGTGTTATTTTATTTCCAACAACAATAATATCTAATTTTCTACCATAGGTAAAACATGAACATAAATGTACCATTTATTTTAATTAAGAAATAAAAAACTTGTTACTAAACCTACTATGTTAAAGCAAAATTCCAATAATTTTATTTTTTTCTTTCTTTCAAATATTTTACTGCAGAATATTATGAGTCATTAAATCAAATATTATTTTATATTATGCTTTAAAACTATTCAATTTAAATCATCTACTTTAGAGGTAAAATAATGTGCAGTTGGCTAATTAAACTTAAAAACATTTTAATTATTACAATTTTGGTTATATTTATTTTTTAAAAAAAAGTAGGGGTTGAAAATCAAAAGTTGGTGTCGAATTTTCGAGGAAGGGGAGATACAAAAAAAAAAGTATTATATAATAAGTAATATAGTAGTAACTTGGTCTTGTTTTATAATTAATAGAAATGTATCAAACATAAAATTGAGTAATTAATAATGTTATTAATTTTGACACAACAATATTGTCTTAAGTTTCGTTAAAAAAGAAAACGTTTTAAAAAAATAATAATATCCAGCTAATAGAACAATAACAATTCTCATATAAGTTCTGGACAAATTAGAATTAACAAAATATACCGGAGAGTAAGCAGGTTAAGTAAATGACTCATAAAACCTTTAGTATTTTAATAGTGTCAACTTATGTGTATGTATATTAAAATTATAAATAATACATTAACTTGTTAGGTGTATTCAATTTAGCAATTATTTAGTTGATTTTAAGTGCTCCAAGCACCAAATCATGTTCATTACAAAATAAAATAAAAAAAGTAGAATATCAGAATTCATATTATATATTATATTTTATTTTATTAACAATTTAAGGTTTCAATGAATTATTTTTAAAAAGATGGCTGTTTACTATTGAACATTTTTTAAAACAAATTAATTATGAAGTGAAAGTGAACCTAACTTATTAACTAAACATCTATTAAATTTCCTTTACTGAGTTCGTAAAGCAATTGATCATTATAAAAAGAAACAAGTTTTTCTTTCATTTCATTATTCCAAAAATCATCGTCCCTTTTGATTTTTTCGTAGAACAATCCTGAAAATATTTAAAATAGTATTACAGTCAGAACGAATCACACAAGACTTTACTTGTATGACAAATTTATCTAAATAACATACCCTCAGGATTCCAAACTACAAAATAACAGTAATCCTTTTGTGCAATATGTAACTGCCCTTGCACTTGAAAATAGTTATCCGAATTTTTTTTTAACACAATATCCCCACTTCCGGTGCTTTCTAAAAACTGTAATAGGCCCTTTCCGACAGCATCTTTCGGTGGCACAGTTGTTACATTGTGAGGGCACTTAACCATAAGCAAGCCGTTGTCTCCAATCAAACCGTCTGGTTTCGCTGCCAAAAAATTAATATGTTTATCCACAAACCCTCTGCAAGACACAACTGCCAGATGCGTCTCATTTTGAAAGGCTTCTATGGCCTTCTGTTTGTACGTCGCATCGTACCTGAATAATCGATTATTAACATATTATAAATAATTTATAAGCAGTATCCGTAAAAATAATACTAGTGTGCATAGGTAGGCGTTGTGGCAGGTGACCTTTTATTCATTAAACAAATGGGAGACACTGAGGTCGGTGTCCACTGTTCAGTTAGCATCCGATAGAAAAATTATATTAAAAGAAAAAACCAAGTACCTCGTTGCTTCGTTTTCTTTATCTCTCACAACTTTAGCTGGATACAAAAAAGGTTTGTTTATCCTGCAAACACGGCCAAATTTCTCAGCTGTCAGTCTGTATGACCATTCGTGTTTGCATTCGTCAAACTCGGTTGAATCACTAGTTTTCTCATCTAAAGAACTGACTTCCAATTGACTCGCCTTGAGGATTTGAAGAATGTATCTCTTTCTTTCGTCTATTTCTTCTTCGGGCAATTTAAAGAAATTTCGAGTGACTTCACCTAAAGATGTATTTGTTAATTTAATATATATATTATTTTATTATTATAATTTTTCACCTAAAAAATGTCAATGGCGGGTTGCAAAAACTTTCATTAAAGGTTTAATGAACTTATAGATTGGTGCATTGAAGGTATTAATTATTTTTGAGCAACCCCGATTGACTTTTCAAAGCAATAAAAAAGTAAAAACATAACGTATCAATTACCTTCCAACGCTCTTATGCAAGAAATGTCCATTTTACAGTTCAACCAATTGTAATATGTTAATATATTATATGATTTTGGGATAATGTTTTCAATACTTTCTGATCGAGGTAAGTAATGTTTGCCTTGACATTGACTACCGAATTCCTTCAAGGTTTTTATGAATTTATGGTCTTTCTTATCATTGCGTTTGATGTCCGCTGAGAAATCTGCTAGACTTGTAACTTTTGGAATTTCCATTTCCTTTAACCTCGAGTAAATATCCGTTTGCCACGGCTGAACGTCGAAATTTCCATAAGCAAATACTGCTTGCATCCTGTATACATATTTGTAAAAGCCCCATAATGTAATCCTGATCTTTTCTAGTGGGTTTTTATTCTTTCCTGGGTATTCGACTTTTATTATATTAAACAAACGGTAAGTCAATAAGCTATGGAAACATTCCAACGACTCGAACATCTTTTTGATACTTTGTAGTAGTAATGTTTTTTTCGAGTTATTAACAGGATTATCTATATAAGGTGTCGATAGTAGCAATATGTCATGTACGTCGAGTGTAGTGACTATTACTTCATCTGATTTTTCTTCAAACACCCATTTCTTAATATCGACCATAACGCTGTTTATAGATCGCAAGAAATCAGCATCAAATGTCCTGTCAATTGCATTTTCAGTCTGATAAAAAACAAAGAAAATCATTATTTACTTTTAATGCATGTATATTAGATAATTGTTTTTTTTTTTTTTTTTAACTGTTTTGTGTCTTTTCTACGACGTACCCTTTCAATTGACAGCTGGAACCTATTCTAATAAGAAATCTAGTACTCGAAATTGTGTCAAAAAAAAAAAAACAGACCGCATGCAATCCCATTAAGATTAACCAGAGAAAGGAGTACTCCGAAACGATTCGGAGGCTACACATAATACAGTGGTGTATTATTGGTGGTATTCACAAAGTCACAAGGAACCGGTTGTTTTCCCCGGCCTCGTCAAAACACAATATTGAATATACCTTTTAAATTGTACACGATTGAACTCCTCGACTTGCACTAGCGTTTGCCTTGGCTTCTAACGTGTACATACTGTGCCTCGTTTAAATATTCTTTTGTGGAAAGAATTTGTTTTGTTTAATATTATTGATACGAGAAGATATTGAGTAAATAAGTATTGACAGCCGAGTATACTAAAATTCGCCATGAACGCTACAAAGAACATAATATTATACTGATATTTTTTTTTAGGCTAATTAATTGAACTTGGCAATGTCCAAATTAGATTTTAAATAAATGCACGTACGTAAATTAGCTGACAAAATTATACATCATATTATATCTCCCTCGTACACTTTTTTCGTGGTTTTAGGATATATATATAAAAAAAAAAGTAAAATTAACACACTAGACAGACACGGTCCATCCGACTAATCTAAAACGTCACCCTAAGTGCTAAATCATTAACCAAAAATGTACCAAACAGTATTTTAAGATTGAATTGGATAATTATTATTGTACGAATACTTTACCTTTGACTCTGGAATTAAATTTGCAGTTATAATTAAACAATAAAGTATTAACGCGAACATGTTCTTTGTTAACTGCATTGCACAAGTCTGTTGTATAATAACCAAAATACGATTAGAATTTCAAACGAAACAATGAAAGTTCCTTTGCGTTTTTTAGGTAAAACAAATTTCTTCTTAACCGTTACACGTCATTCCACGTATAGAAAAATACTGTCGTGCAATAAATAAAGTACACGTACACTTAAATGAGTGTGGCGGCGGCGGCTTACAATTCTTAATATTTACCTAAGTTTCGTTTGGTAAAAATGTCATTGTCAACGTGTACTGTCTTTAGGTACATTGCTTTTGTCGATATTTGTATTTTTACCTGTAAACACTGGTCCTCCCTCACTACTGCTTACTATACTTGTATTTACACTGTGCTTGGTTGGTAATGTACTGGTTTAAAGTGACTTTAAACCTACTATCCGCATAGAAACGTTTATTTAAAAGTGATTTTATCACTTTCGGTTGGGAAATATAATTCCTACAGACCCGTGTCCTCCCCGTCCTCACTATACTGTGTTTTTTCTATAGGAGCCATAAGGCTTAAGTTTAATTTGGCTTCTTTAGAAAATTAGTAAGATTTATTAGAAAAACTATAAATACAAATATAAACGTTCATAAAAATAAATTGCGTTAAGCCTTGATTTAATTATTTGTATAAAATTGATCGTTTATGTTCAGAGCTTGTGAAGATTGCTTTAGTTATAATAAAACTTAATGTATTTGGATACTAGCAAATAACAAATTAAATAATCGATAATATAAATTCAATTAAAACTTACTCACATAAATTGACGTTTTTCGCTCGCAAAGATTTTAATTAATACAAATTTATACAAATTATTGTAAAATAAAATGATAAACGGATTAAAAATCCCTGGCAGGAGCAGATCATTAGGTTAATCGTTTGTTTACAAAGTGTTTTTTTCGAGATAAAAATTGGCATTCGCCTTAAATTTTAATAAGGTTTTTATTTTATAATACTTATTCAACTTAACATACTTATTTCTCAATTGCACATTTTAAATTTCCTACAGAACAATATTATAGTGTCGTACTGCATCTCAATTAAAGCCCGAGTCTTAACAGTTTGTTTAAATGTATAAATCACAATTAAGGAGATTAATGATACAAAAATTGTATACACCAATAATTGCTGTTGTTAAAAATTAAATTAAATATTTAAATAAAGCACATTACATTATACAAAATGCAATGAGCAACATGATTAATATTTTGAACGTATTCATTAATGCAATTGACGATAAAACCGATCAACTGTACACAATAACATTTGAAAATCTAGTAATTTAAACAACATAATAGTTTTTTAAACGGTAAGTAGGATTTTTTTTTCTTTAAAGGGGCAACATGCCTAGATAACGGTAGAAACGTTTACGTAAAAAGGACAAACAATTTAATAGCCGAAGTCGTGCACGACTTGATATAATGTATTTTGTTAAATATTTCAAATAAATGATAAAGTACAGAGCTATTATATGCAAGTCTTATTAAACAGTGCCTATTTAGTTTGTCCAGAGTAGTCTGTTTGTTTTTGAACATTTATCATAAATAAATATCGACGTATATTTCAACCAGTAATTCTTGTGGTAAAAACTCAAACATCAATAAAACAATTTTTTTTTTTTTTAAATCCATTTTGTTTTTTCGCAAATAAATATATGAATAATATAATTTCAAAAATAAATCAATTAATTTTATCGCAATTCTTTGTGTAAGTATAATCTTATATGGTTTATACTCAATTTGAACTTTATAATTTTTTTTTTTAATTAAGTAACAATATAAAATGAATTGAACGTTGACGTAAACCCATTCTTTAAAATAGATTTATTGTTTAAGTTCCACACAATATATTTTACAAACCATATTACTTAGACAATTATTAGAACAATACAAATGGTTTTAAAGATAAAATATAGTAGAAACGAAGACTGAAAATATTAAAAAAAAAAAAGATACAACATTTTTAATATTATTACATTTATATAATATTAACTTAAACAAATTAATTCAAACAGAAAATTGATGATCACTCTTGCATTTACCTAAAGAACTCTTTTACAGATGGCAAATTGAGGCTTATAATTTTTCTTTTTAGGTAATTACAACCATGAAGAGATTTAATAAGCTATACAAATATATTTATTTTGATTCGTATATCGCTGACAAGATTAGAGTAATATTTCAAAAGTTACACACAAATGTGCTAACGCAATAAGAAAAAACACATACAACATAAAAATGAATTATTAAAACTTATGTTTATATATATAAATATATATATATAAAAAACATACAATATTAGTAATTATAATTATATATATAAAACCGGACTAGTTGGCACATAAGGCATTTGTCAAGATAGTTCATCATATACATTTTACAATCGACAAACCACTCAACGAATTAAATAAAATTTAAAAATAAAGTAAAAAAAAAAAAAAAATAGTGTAATAATAATAATAGTTGACAAATTAATAATAATAATAATATTTATATAAAACTAACAACTAACTGTCGAACGTTATGCATATAGTTGTCTGTAGTACAAAAATTTTTTTTTTAAATAACAGACCAAATTCGCACTTGAGTACACGAGTAGTTTTTTCGATCACAGCAGTTATGGATCTCCAGAAAAGTAATGAGAGGGAGAGAATAAGAGAGTTCAATTAGCCTGTAACAAAATATATATAAATATTAGTTCAACATAATTTATTTAATATATTATTAGGTATTATTATTATTCATATGGCTCTTTTATAACAACAACAACCCAAGTAATTCAAGATTTGTTATATTAAGTATTCATTCGTATTAAGTTTACACAAATTACTTATCAAATTTAATTTATTGATTAAACTCTAAATTATTAGACAATCGAAATACCTTATAATGTAAATAATAATTTTGGACACTTAATGTCAAATTAGTAAAAAAAAAAAAACAAGACTAATACTATGCCATTTCAAAGAGTTAAAATTTCATAAATCATTTTTGGTTTACATTCTGAAAAAAAACGGTTTTTATAAATATAAACTTTGATTATTTTACATAAGATATTTCTTTGACGGCGCACAGTTTAGCTCGTCCATATTTTCCAAATAATAAGAAAATATTGTCTAATCTTTTATTTAAGCCAATAAAAAGTGGTTTATTTAAAAAAAAATCGTTGATAATGAAGTCCTATCAATCCTCTAAATATTAAAAACACTTAATACTGCAATAATAAATATACAACATAATTTTAGATAATTTAATTTAGATCTAAATTAAAATTTGCGAAAAATCCGCCTATATCAAACTCCATAAAAAGTAGTAAGCGTGGCCGGCCATTGAATAATCATAATATGTCTATTGATAGAGTTAATTTTATGTACTAACAGTGGTCAATTTTGCAATAGCTTATAGGTTGTCCACGGGTATTAGAAACATTATCAGCTATACCGATAGCGTTGTTTTATTTAATTGATTTTTTTTATTATAAAAAATGTCTAAATAAAATATCGTTTGTCTTATGCGCCAGAGGCCATTGATGCCTAATATTATTAATAATAATAAAAAAAACCTACATATTTTCAGTCTCTCAGTTTTTGGCTCTAGTTTTTTATTGGTCCATTAGACGTTAACCTAGACTATTGGTTATTTACAAATGGGTAGTATAACATTTCATTGTAAATAATGATAATTTGTTACTTCGATAACAGCTTCGTAACCGCCTTTGGACTGCATTTGTCCGTGAATGGCGTTCAATCTGGATGATCCCATTTCCACGTCGGACGATCCTATGTGTCCTGTATGCCGGAAGTTCGTGGGTGCTCCGATCATGGATCGATCGATCCGCACTCGTCTCACGTGACTCTTTCCCTGGAAAAAAAAAAATACATAGATCGTTTAGCCACAAGGTCGGTCACAGTGACGACAACAAGTGAAACCCAGGATAGTATAACATTACTCATCAGCGGCCACTACGCCACGCGAGAAATCTATAGAGCAACCTAGAGAGTTAGGTACAGGATGCATCGGAGAGAATCATTATATAATGATAACGTTATACACACACATAATGATTGGAATTGTAATGGTTCAAAATGGTTTACTTTCCCATTCGATTACGTTTCGAAAATATGTTATTACAATTCGTTTCCAACAAAAAATTGACACTGAAAAACATTTACAGGCAAACATCTTCAAACGAAAGACATATATTTTGGTTGTAATTAATTAAACCGACGTCCATATGTTAACAGTATGGAAAAAATAACCTAAGACCAGAACCTAACCAATAACACCGTAATTGGATAACCGGTAGCCCTCCTTTTGGGATGAGGTCATGAATAAAATATAATATAATCGCTACATAAGAAAAAAACATTTACTTTTCACTTCCAAAAATATGTACAAGGAAAAAACACTATTACTGAATTACTATAATTACTTTTTATCTAAAAAGCGTTTCTGTGCTCTCCTAAATATATAAATAATTAAGTAATCAATTGGTTGCACTTGTATATTTCAAATGAGTAAGTTTATCTTATCGTATTTGGACTAGAAAGAAAAAAAAAGGTGATATTTAGCTTTTCAGGATCAACACACGTTGACTGCCACAACCGGATCCGTTGCAAATATCACTTATTATCATATTTAAACTTATGTCCTATACGTCTTGACTCATAACCTATACGCATGAATATAATTAAACTAATAACAAAAATGTTCTTGAAAAAAAATAAACTTCATTGAATTGTTAGTGTACGTTTTAGAATAATGCAAGCGGTCAGTTGTATATTGTTGTTAGCGTTGATTTATAACTATAACTATTTATAAATAATTTTAATCTATCAAGTGTCTTGATGTCTTGACACGTCAGAAAATAAACATTGCACAATCTTAATTGCTATCTAGTAAATGAGATACAAATTGCATGACATAATATCTCCACTCATTACCTAATAACATTCACTAAACAATAACACATGTGTTATATACTTAACTAAACCAAAAAACTGTTTTGGAATTTGATCGTTACACCCGGTTGTTGGCTATAAATGTATAGTAATATGTAAAAGGAATACATATGCTTTTTGTGTGGGTTAAGGCGAAGAAAATTAAGTATAATAATAGAGCACGTGGCCGAATGTCTTAAGGCAAAAGGAGCAGCAACAGTGCAACTTTAAGTCACTGCAGGTGATTTATTTGAACCGTGTCACTTTTATTCAAAACTACTATAATAGTATTCAAAAAAAAAAAATCTCAGCCCTACGTTTCCGGTATATAGAATAATTAATCTGACATAACGTGGTCTAAATCAAAATTAGGACATAAAATGTTTGAAAAAAAAACTTGTTTTTCACTTTTACATAATTCATAAGATATTAACTGTATTATATATAGGTAATGCCTATATACCCTATTATAATAAGGTATACATTTTTTTAGATAGATTGAACTGCAAATTCACTACAGTAAGTTACAATTCATTTTCATTATGCCTACCCACCTGAATTTACATATTTCATTTTTATCGTTAGTTATTCATGAATATAATCGTTTATAACACTAGTGTTGGCCATTCGGAGACATTGTGTAATTCAAAATATACAACATTGTACATTTGTACATATAATAGATTGGCCAAAGCGGGCTAAGCCAAAATTGAAAACGCCATGTAATAGTTATTTTACAGTGTGTTTAACGACTAACGTTAACTGTACACTAATATAATTCATGACAATTATGTGTAATTTATTTGGCTGGTTTCATAGTCGGTGAGGTAATTATCGTGCCATTTAAATTATTTGGAGCGTTTGCTGAAATTAAAAAAAACCTCACCATGGTTCTACAAAACAAGACTACTTACACACTTTAAATATTACAAGCAACGTGTAAACAATTTTTTTTTCATAAACGAACACTAATAAAGGTTAACAAGCGTAAAGTACTCTTCTTGGAAACTATAGTTTAATTTTTAGCTTTTTACTACAGTATAAATTTTATAGGAAGTATTCTCGTGCCAGAATGTTAACGACTTCAATAATGACGAAAACAAATAATTATACCTAATAGATGTCGTCCATCGTAGATTCAATGATCGTCTCATATTATTTACGGTTTATAATAATAACGATGATTAATATGTTAAATGGACGATAGCGTAAAAAAAAAAACCGTATAATTTATTCTATGAAATCATATAAACGTCACAAGCGTCAAATTAAACATCAATTACACGTGAGAAGCCAATTGAATTAATATAGTTTTCAGTAAAAAAAAAAAAAGTATTTTTAACATTGTAACAACTATTGAAATCAACCGGTACTTGTTTTGATTTTGTATTTATGGTAAACAAAAAGTTTTCTGAAAAAAAGTATGTCATTTAGGCGAGAAACATTTTTTTTTTGTAGTGCAATAAGTTACACAGGTTGCACAGAAACTAAAGAAATAATTCAAAATGCGATACGGTCATTAATCAATAGTCATTATATTTCAAAAATGTCGATAAGAACAACATTATCAATGATCGTTAACGCGAACGAATACACCTAACCCCGTGCATAGGTTATTTTTTTATCAACGGTAATGAACAAGTTCTGATTAATAATAAAGTAATTAGTCTAGGTGCACGGTACCTATACAGTATTATACACTTCAGTATAATATTATAATTGCTGTGTTTAATCTAGTTTGTTAGTTAAACTTCACAGCAATTAGTTTAAAAATATCTAAGCAACTTTAAAGAGCTCTTAGAATCCAAAAATCATCGGGGCTTTTGCGTTTACTCAAAACATATGGGTTTTATTGGAATTATGGATAACCGAAAAACTTAATTGGAACAGAATTTTTTAACCAAATCCTAGTTATTTGAGTCATGGAAATTGTAATAGCCATTGTCCAATTTGTACACAATGTACACAGGAATACTTCTTTAAGCGCGTTTATAAATTATGTCTATGGAATGAGATTGGATAGTATTACAGTCCGGAAACCATCGTTTCGAGTAATATTTTAAGTCTTCCTGTGGATTAAACATACATTTTTCATAGTTAAAATAAGTCAGGCACGTTATCAAGCTGTACAATATCACTGAGAAAAGTGCCAATGTAGCTGAAAATAGACCGAAATATAATGGTTTAGCGACCAAATAAATAATATTACTTCAACTTAGCCAACATTCTTTTAAACTTCCTCCCTTTTTTAATTTAAAATATGGGCGTGACCACATTAATTCATTTTTTTCAGAATTCTCTCTGCTATAAAAGATTTAGCGTCAAGTACCAAATTTAGTAACCAACCTTTCCATTAACAGAGTGATATATTTTAGTTTTAATTTGTAGACATATCAAAACTATCTATACTATTAATACTAGCTTAAAGTAGGACAATCATATCAAAGTCCAAAAGTTTCCATTAGTTTAACTGCAAAAACTTAATAGTGTTCAAATATTTATTTGCTATCTAAAATTCTACGCTATCAAAAAATGTACGAATTATTTTTAATTGATAAATAGCCATTTCAATAACATTAAAGAAAATAAAAATTGTATCTGATGATACATCGGATAACGATTGATAATCTAAAATTATACTGTTATTATTAAAAATTCTAAACAGGTAAAAAAAATGTATATTTTGAGTGTTTACAATTTTCTGAGTTGGCAAAAAAACTAGGTTTTAAGTTTTTTAAGGATTAATGGATCATCAAAAAAATTATCTTTTTTACAAATACACCCGGTTATAGCAAATTCTAATATAATTGTACAATTGTTAACCTTTGGTAAAAAAAATCATTATGCGCTTGAGTAACCAAAAATTGAAAAAAATTGCCAATTAGCAAACAAATTTTTCAAATAGTGAAAAAAAGCAATGTTCTCAACAATGCCATTTATTGTTTCATTTTTAAAAATGTACTGTAATATAGTATTCTTCTCTGGTTACCTGTTGGGTACGTTGGTTGACACAGCAAGAAAACCACTGGAACAGAACTTCACCAGGCATATTTCCCGACCTGTAGCCCGCCGACATGATGTGTTTGCTTTTGGTTCTGATTTCCTTTGTTGGTTCCTTTAGAAAAAATAATAACCATTCATTAGTCTTTAATACTGTTAATATTTTTAATATGATTAATATTATTGTACATCATGAAACAATCATGGCTCGTGTTTTTTTATTTATCAACACACACAACATTGAAACAAACCGTAAGTAACGGCACCTATTGCGGATAATGTTATTCAACAGATAAGGTATTCATTTATTTTTTCATGTTTCAATATACCTACTATAGTGAATTTCTCATCATGCCGTCGGCTATGTGCGGTTCGCGTTGTTTAATAACTGTCGGTAGTACACCAATACCAACAACAAGCACATCTCATAATATTATATTATGTGCCATTATAATTATATTAAAATAATCGAGCCGTCGGATACTCCTCACATACCGAAGTGGAAGTTAAATAGTTTTTACAAATTTTACCGACAGGTTGGCCGACCCAAAAAAACCCATTTTTTATTTTAGTAAAATTGATTTCAACTCGTGTTGGATATTCGCTGGTTTTAATCTACCGTTATACACATACAGCGAAACACCAAGGAAATATCATCATTAACTCTTTTCCTTGCAAAGAGTGAAATGAGAGAACCTTTCTGTTTATTCAACTTTTTTGGGCATAGAGCTTTAATATCTATATATAATTTCAATCGCGCGATTAAATAGTAACCAGAGTTTTGACTTCACCCATTAACTAGTAATCGTCATTTGAGTTCTCCCAAAAACTTGTTTTAGTTAATAAATATTTAAAAAACAGAAATTTTTAAAAATTATGAACCTAAATCAGTGAAATTCCCCCCCTTCCGGCTGCTATTTATACTTTAATGTTATATATGTTGTATTGTATAAATAACAAAATATGCAGTACACCATTAAACAAATTTACTGTCTATAAAATTATTTATATTTGTTAGTCTTCACTATCTATAGTTTTGTATTACGTTAATATATATATATATATTGTATTTTTTTTTTTTTTTTTGAAGTATCATTTCCATTAATAGTTCCTGAAGATCCTTGACCTCCGCGACTTGACCACTGTCGTGGATTTTTTTAATTTTTTTTTTTTTTTTCCATAATTTACCCCGAGACTATTTTGTGATAAATAAAACATAGCGACAACGGCCATTATATAGATCCGGCGCACACACAGCTCTGTAAACGCAACCGCGCACATATACGGACAATAATATGAATTTTCACACACAATACATAATATTATACACCACCACACACACACATCTATCGCTATATAACACCACAAGAAGGGAACCACCATTTTTTTTTTTTTTTTACTCGTTTGCAGTGTAGTTTAACGTTTCGCTGTCTGTTTGTGTGTATGTGTATGTGAGTGTTTACTGCAGGACAAGGCTAGTGTAATATATTATGTATGTGTGGTTGTTGAACCTCACGACTCCAATGACAATGGCAGGAACTTCTTCCAGGAGAGGATTGCGCGCCCATATATACGTAGTATTACACTATACAAATACACATGCACGCTATATATTATTATTATTGTATTATAACGTATGGCAACTGTGTAACGGGACAAACAGGTCGTGGCGAACGGGGCGATGATTTTAATGGTACTGTGTGATGATTGTTGTTATTATTATTATTATTATTTAAACGAGCACCGATAGTTAGATAACTACCGTATAATATGCGCCGGAAAAATATAGAAAAACGGCATGGAAAAAAGAAATTCTAGTAAAACGGTAGTAATTGGACACTGATAAAAAAAAAAATTCAATTCGCGAAGAATTGAATTTTTGCTCAAAAATAAGAATAGACAATTTTCAGAACACGACACAAAAATCAACATGTGCCAAGAATAACCGCAAAAAAAAATATATTAAATAGATTTTGCAAACATTTCAACGATAACCATTTGACCTTTTTTTTTTTTTTTGGAACATAAACCAAAGCAATTAAACGAGATCAAATTATGTTGTACACAGTAATATTACTCATTAGTAACTATTACTACAATAAAATTGTGGTTTTGTTTCAAAACACGCGTTTGCAATCAATCCGAGCAAAGGTTTTTCAAGCAATGTTGTTTTGACATTACATATTTTATCGTGTAAATTATTTTTTATGCAATCGCATAATTAAATGTATCATAAGTATTTATTTTTTTTTTTTTATTACTATGACCGATTTTTAATTAATAAATTTATGCATTTTGCAACACAACAATACTTTAGATGCGTACCTAATCGTACATAACACAGACAAAGAGCTCGTTAACATCGATTAAAGGAGGCGATCCTGAAGTTAAAGCACTGCGTTGTGAGGATACCGGATGAGGAGGTTTTTTAGGAAATTCGAAAATTTAAACCAACTTGCTTACTTTATCTTATACTGTCGTTTTATTTACACTATATACACTACTAGGAAATCTCAAACCGTAAACAACAATCAGTCGGTCCGAGTAACCGATACTGAAGAACAAACGTATATATATATATTATTGTAATAACAACAACACGCATTTATATGTGCAGTAATATTATGCGAGGCACCGAGAGAAAGAGATTATTATAATTTAGTAAAATGTAAAGTGAAAGTAGTCTTCAAGACCAAGGGCCGAGAGACGAAAAACAATGTTTTCAAAATATAGGTATACATAATATATGTAGTAGGTACATATTTTTTTTCAATCTGATTAATGAGCGTTTTGTTTTTGTGTCTAGTAAGCGTCCGTAATGCAATGTAAGAGACAATAGCGAAGAAAAAAAAAACAACAGCTACGGTCTTCTCCGTTCGTTGAATTGTGTGTAGGTACATATAAACGATGGCCAGGAAGTGAGCGATGACCAAGTAAAAGTACTTGGGCAAACAACAGAACGTGTCGATCGATGAGTCACTGCGACAAAAAAAAAAACTATAAATAAAGATTTGCAGTTACTTTTTGAATGCCCTATTCAAAGCAAAGGTCAAGTCAAGTAGACCTTTTATAAATTTCGAACACTATGCGTAACGCGGTAATTTTTTTTTTTTAGGACGTTTTGCGGCACCGAACAACGACTTTCAACGATCTATTGTATTACAATAGATCCTCTTCTCTTCTCGAACACACTATGTAAATCGCACACGACTAAACAATAAAACATCTGCGAGTTTGTGTAACGCCAAAAACCAGATTTAAATACCCTACTTGCAAACTAATCACAATAGAACTGAAATCGAAATTTCTACAAACAATAAACTGACGTTGAAAGCTGTCCAGGCTTAAGTGATTTAACCTTTTAAGGACATCCAGTCCAAACAACGACACCTGCATACAATTTAGATAAATGGTGAATAAATGGCGTTTTTTTTTTTTGCAATGAAATCATCTTGCAGAAAAAGTTACTTATGTAAGAAATACTACACATTATAATACACATGAAGTATTATGATATAGTTTTACGCTTTGTCGAGAAAGTTGCAATATGTATTACATTATACTCCTACGGTCAATAACACCGGTGATAGTGCATACACGTTGTAGAAACTGATTTCCATAATTGAAATATTATTTTAATACAAATTTACAAGTTGAGAATAGACAACAAATATTTGTTTTGCGTACATCACGAGCTTTAGCTTTACACTAATAACGGGTCTAAGTGCTTAATCAAACGTTTTGAAACGTGTATTCGTTGAAATGAACAATGAACATGAAAGTATATACACCCTGAATGTACCCTTGACATCATTTGGAAATTCTGCACGGCCATACGTTATTATTAAGCTGTTCAATTACTTTATAACGTCATACACAACATAACGTTACACATAACCCATTGTGTCGCTTGCTTTTGTAGAGTATTTAAATAAACACTATACTTAAGAAAGGATAACCCCCTCCCACAAAAAAAAAATACAAAAATATTTAGATGATTGGGCGAACGATAGGTTTTTATCTTTTTCATTGTCATACCACTTATCATTCTTGTAATTATTGTAAATGATTGTCCACTTTAATTTATTTTGTTCAAAGAATAAATATCGTACACACAGTATAGCTGCTACTCTATATGTTTCATGGCTTTTTTTCATTAAATCTAACTATACTAGTTAATCAATTATCAAAGTTGTTTTAAGACTTTTTGTGAAGCGCTTTTTGGTCTATTTTTAGACTTTGAATTGAATTAAGTGACTATAGCCTCGTTCATGTTCACAAACTCGTGTACTACTCGATTACACTTCAGTAGCAACGAGATGGTCTGAAAGCCAAGAATATCGCTTACATGGGAAAATTAAATGACCCCACGTTGTTATTCAAAACTAGTAGTGCCAGCAAACAATCAAATCTCAGTCAGCATATACGTGATACAACTGCTAATAAAATGGTTCGAAACAACATTTCATAGAACAGTTTCATATTTAACACACCGCAAGAGTATTAATGTAATTATTTAGTAACAGTCCGCGGTTTTCTCCAAGATGATACTTTACTGGTTTCTGACAAATTAATATTAACACCATAATATCTAATTGTTTAAATCTCAAATTCAGGCCAACCAACCATGTACGCGGGTGTCATTAATTTATTTTTTAAAGGCATTGCGTGTAAGTGGTATTATGTTAATGTTAAAACGTGAAACATGACTTAACGGTTTCTAAACCTGAACAATTAATAAAACTGAACACTTTTACTCATGTCTCTTGCCCAAAGTAGTCCGAGATATTTTTTATTTACCGAGAAACATATTTTTTTTTTTTTACATGTAAGTGAACCAAAAGTAATTTTAATTCTAAGAGGCAAACGCAGAATACGCCACCGATAGTTTTGTTCAAAAAATCTATTTTTCACCACCAAACCAGTTTAGATCTAAGAAAATATTATTCACGAAAATGTTTATTATAATTTTGAAAATAATGTCTGATTTATGTAAAATCACTTAAGAGAACTTCACATGTCAATTGCTCAGACGTTTTACATTTAATAATTATACCCTTTTATTGGTCCACTATGGAAGTCTTTATTGGTAGTTAGTTAATATAATAAAATAAA